TTCGTGCAAGTGTCAGTGTGACCTAGATAAGTTACTATAATCTTAAAGTAATTTATATTTAAATTGTCATGTTATATAATAATATACATGCATGAATTGTGAAATAAAATCTAAATAAAGTGTCTTTAACGCTAGGCTTATGATATTGACTTGTTTCAAATTTATGTTGCTCGTTGCTATAACAATGAGCTGTTCTTTTATGAGGACCTTTTGCATTTGGTATACTATGTCGTTAAAGAAAACATCATTGTACTAGGGTGTTTACCTGAGGCAAAAACCATTTTATCTTTCTTCAAAACGGTAGACTTTAAACGATATATTTAGCAGATATCATATTTATATTCTTAATTTTACAAAGTTATCTCTTCGGTCAATTTAGGATTTAGGCATTTGCTTTATTTGCCTTGATTTAGTAACGGCCCTGTATACTCCACACGAATGACTTTGAATTTATAAACTAAACACCTTGATTTTACTATTTCGGTCAAATATTCGATGAAGTCCCATAATGAATGGTTTTGTTTTATGGTAAAAAGGCTAATGATATTTTAATTTCAATCTGGTGGAAACTTTCCAATTAATTTCATTCATTATCGTTTTGTAATTAATAATCATCATCGAAAAGCATCAGACACTGCTGAAATTGACAGAGGGTCAAATTTTGTAAGTAAGGACAATACAATGCAAAAGGTTTATCAAAATATCATCAAATTCAAACTTAAAAAGATCTACACTGCTGTATTTATAGGTCAAATTTGACCCGAACCTGTCTAAGATGACTGACATCAAAAAGCCTATGCATATATAGATTAGATTTAGAATTAGATAAATACTAAAGCTTTTACCCTGTTGAAGCGTAACTTGACGATTATATTTTAGAAAGTAAATCAAAATATGATAACGAGTATAATTTGCAATAATTGTTGCATGACTTCAAGATATTTCTTAGAATATGTATTAATTCAGTATAGTTTTTTTTCACGCAAGAAAAGATATATATTTTGTTTGTGTGCGTGATGGTTTAGAAGAGTTGAAAATAAGTTGAGGGAAGATCGTTTCTATACTTGCTCTTTCTTGGCCTCTTGACAATGATCCATAATGAAATCTAGTGATTAAGTCAATTAAAAAAAAGGTTACGCCATGCAGTGTGCAGTGAGAGATATTTTGAATAATGATGACGTCATTCAGTGCATGTATATGGTTGCAATATTCTATCCTGTAACGTTAATAATATTTTCATGCTTTGTCTGAATTACCCTTCTGTTCCAATCATCTACGTGTCTAAGCCATGCGAGTCAAAATAGATTTTTCGCGTACAGGTTTCGTAAATCACACCTCCTACGAGAAGACCCGAGGTCGTTTCTAAACCTGAACCATAAACTTTGTTTCAAGGTAGATTATCTTATACTAAATATTTTAAAGGGGTATTCCGCTTTTTTGTAAAATTATCAAAAACGTTGTAAGTTCTACCTGAAAATATTTCTAAATTATGCTATGTACATCTATGTTTCTACTTTATCAAACTGAATTTGTTTCACAAAGGGTTAATTGAAAACGTTACCAATTGTAAATTAAGCATTTTGACCTAGTTGTGGTTTCTGCCTTTATAATGACTCAAACCTTCATATTTCCCTACAATATGGCGTTTATTTCACTCAAATCTGTACGTTAGTTTTATAACACCCCAAAAACCATAACTTTATTAAAACCTTGCGTAAACTTTTTAAATATTTTTGGCGTTCAAATTAACAGCTGGATTCTTTTAGTTGAAACTTTCAGATACGTTAAGGGCACATTCCTATAGATTTTGGAGTATAGTTTTCAGAAATTTGAGCAAAATAAATTGTGTCCTACATAAAAGCGGAATGTCCCTTAAAGAATTGTAATTTTTCTTTTTTAATATTTCAGTACATTTGTGTTGGTACACAGTATTATGTCGGTAGTGTTTGTACAAATCGTCGTCGTTCTCGCAAACCGACGAATATGAAAATTTCATGTTTTGAGAAAAACGCCTTTAAAGTTTATGAAAAGTTTGTATCTTCAATTAAAAATTGCTATTGACATGACAATAATAATCAAGGTGGCTATGTGTGCTATAACATATCTATTTCGAAATGATATAGCTTTCCCGCCATCATGATATGTGATTTGACCTTGGTAAAGGTCAAAGTACAGGTATTTCAGATTCGACACTTTGTGAGACAAACATAATTTTGCGATACCCAAATTCGTCAAGATTCGCCATTTTGCGAGACAAATTTTTTGACTTTTCCAAGAAAAACATTAGATTCGACTACGCGTTCACAGCTAAAAACGTTGAATATAGATCCCTCTGTGGAAATCGAAAAGAGTGGGTCATTATTCAGAATGAAACACATATTCTTTACCTTGCGTAAGTCTCGAAATAACACTGTGTATAAATATGCTAATGCAACACCAATATGCAACACCATTTTATTTTATTTGACTAATCAGTAAACTGCAGTTATTTTGCAAGTTTGAAGGTTACTATCCATCATAATAATAGTACTGGTTCACATGCATTTTTAGTATCCATAAATTACAAAATTAACAAGTTCATTTAATTGTACTATTTAAGGTGAAATAAAATGTTAATAGACACGAATATATACAATTAGAAGCATTTCAACATAATATATAATCTCTAAATGACAATTAGAATTAGATAAAACATTAAATAAATAAGAACACTATTATAGATATACTACTCCTTCCTTTAATTTTTGCAGCGTTTCAATTCACATACAGGAATCTTTATCAAGCACAAAATAATAATAATGATAGAAAACAGAACAACAGAGAAAACAGTGGGTGTGGCATAAGTCCAGCTATGAAAAAAATTGTGAGTAAAGAAATAGTTAGGCCTCCGATTTTCAATAGGGTTCATCTTTGAGTGATTACACAGGCTAACACTATGCATTCAGATAATGATCACTGTTAAAAATTTTTATTCAAGGGTAATAACTCATAGTAATATAGTAAATATTATTCAATTTCGCCGATTTTCAATAGGGTTCATCCTTTGGTGATTATAAACACTCACACCAAGTTTCGTCAAAATCCATCAAGAAACCAGCAAGAACAAGGGCAATAACTCATAGTAAATATTTTTCGATTCGTCTGATTTTCAATAGGGTTCATCTTTGGGTCCATCAAGAAACCAGCTCTCTATCGTGTCCACAAACAATTGTGATCCCACATGTATGGCAGATAGTGTCCCTGTTCAATTCTGGTTTTTATTTCGTAATTTCGATAGCTTCCCGTATAACTCAGTCTTTCCAGTTTTGGTAGGTTGGTGGCTAAAATATCAGGTTCCCATTTCATATTGTGGTTAGGGGAATTCTGGATGTGTTCGGCTATGGCTGATTTTTCAATATCCAGTTTATTGCATGCTGATTTATGTTCTTTAAGTCTAACAGAAATAGGTCGGGATGTTTCATCAATGTAGGTTTGTTTGCAGCTACCTTCCAGTTTATATATAACTACTTAGGGATCTACGGTTGGTTTATCAATTCTGCCATCAGCTTGTAGGTGATTCTGTTGGGTTGGCTGGCTTCTAAAGGCTATGTCGATGTTAAGGTTTTTTGTGATAATTCTCTTTATCGGGTGGCTAACAGTTGAAATAGAAGGGATAATCATTCTGGTAGGTGCGTTGTTCCTTTGAGTAGGTTGGTTTCGTTGGTTGATATAGTCATGTTTATCGTGTCATTAACTAAATTAGGTGGATAATTGTAAGGAGGTCACTTTCACAAATATTATGGGGTCAGCATTGAAATTATTCCTTGTTCTATTTTTGGTTGGGTGGTTGGATTGATAATTTATGTACTGATCAGTATGTGTTGGTTCGGTTTCATAGGTAAACTTGATTCTTGGATGGTTGGCGTTGAGGTGATTCAGTAGCGAGATTGGGTCATGATCGTTATCTAATACAACGAAAGTATCATCAACTTTTCTGAGTCAGGTTAAGAGTTGGAATGGTGATATTCTAAGGGCATTTCCTTCAAATTCGGACATATATATTCTGTGATGAGAGGGCTGATTGGAGAACCCATTGGAAGACCATATAGTTGTCCATATATATCTGATTTCCATGTGAAGTAGGTGGAGTTATGACAATTCCAGAAGGGTAATTATACTTTCGATTTTCATAGCAGTAGAGATGGTGTTAGGCTGGCTTTCTGTTCTGGTTTTCACTAATTGTAAAGCTTCATTGCATGATATGTTGGTAAATAAGTCAATCACCTCATAGCTAATAATTTTGCCGAAATTATATTTGGATTTGATGTCACAGAAACTATTAGAATCACTGATGAAGCTGTTTTCCTAAGAGGTGAGAGAAGTTTCGCAAGGTATTTGGATGTATTATTAATGCGCTGCCACGGGAGCAAACTAGAAGGCGAACTTTAATCGGGTCTTTATGAATCTTGACTTGAGCTTTGGCATATGGAGTTCTTTTAAGATAGATTTTAGTTTACGGTCAAGCTTTGAGGTAGGGTCCTTAGTTATCTTCCTATATGTAGATTCATCCGCTAATGTATTATAAACTAGTTCATTAAGGTGGCCACGATCAATTACAAATTAAAGGTAGTGAGACTCGTTAATACAATACATTGGCTAGGCATAGAAAGGAATAGAATATAAACTACGATTATGTGGGATGTGCACTTTAAATACATGTAGTGTACACATGGGCATGACGTATACTATTGTAAAACATTGTCTTATTGTAAGTACATTGTATATTGTAATGACTGACCGAGTGTTGACTTCATATTCGACGTCATTGTACCCGGTTATTCGTCGATTTGAAAGTCCCGCTAAGTGACGAATCAGTTTGAGAGATTTTTATTTTATGAATTTCTGTTATTGGGCAGTTGTGCAAACAAGATGTCAGATGAAGGGAAGCAACTACAATAATATATGAGTAACCATTTCGTTCAGTAGATATCCAAAGGATACGATTTAGAAACCATTTTTTTCATAAAACATAACTTTATTTACTATAATAATTGAGTAAGTTATCGATATCTATCCAACAAAAGACATTTGACAGGAAAATCCACATGGCGACATACAACATTTCTGCATGAAGGGACATTTATGATCCGAGGCACAATCATTCTTGCATCTTGAGAAATATCTCGGAGGGTCTCTGCAGAATCCTAGCTTACTGCCAACTGAAAAATTAAAGTAAATTATTGCTTGATCACATATTTGAAACCGCGTGTATAAAGAAGGACAGTTCTACTACATATTGTTTTACATAGCACACGGTAAAAGTCATACCAGCAATGTAAATGTAAATATTATATCAGATTGCGCAATCCGATGCCGGCTTAACAGCCACCAACTAATAATGATACGTAGTCAACACACATTGGGCGTGGTTGTGTTTAGGTGAGTAGTGTAAATATGAATATAAATATGTTTACTGTCCTTGGGTCCGTTACTGATATGATATGCATATACGATAAACTATAGTATTTCGGATGATGTATTTTTTATAATTTTACTTACCAAAATATCCTTTAAAGTCATAACAGCAGACACCAACTCCCACTGGGGCTGAACAGTAAGATTTTGATGGACATTGGTCTCTTCCACACATAATTTGACTACCTCTTACATCAATAATAGGTTGTCCAACAGCGCATGGATTAAATCTACTAACCGCCAACTGAGCTGAAAATATGACGAGATTTATTCAACCGTCAAATACCAACATTATTCAACTGTCAAATACCAACAGATTGGTTATAAAAGTACATAAATGGCAGTGGTGGTCGAAGACTACACTGAGGATTCCTCGGTCTTCAGCATGTTATTTGAATTGAAAATCTGAAAATCTGGTAGCAAATAATATTACATGACTAACTTGCAACGATAAAAGGATATTTGTTTGCAGTTTGTCATCAAAACAAAAACTTGAGGACGTTCTACGAATATTTCTGAGAATCGAATACAGTCGAATATAACGAAAATGTCTGAATCGTTAGTAAGAACAGACTGTCTCCACAGACTATCGTGTAATTATAAAACCCAAGAATCATTGCCACCTAAAAATTCAAAATGTATTTACGTGGAACGCAGGTTGGCTTTAAATCACAACTTTTTGATTCACAAACATCATCAGCTAGCAGTCGACACCCAAAATTACATTTCTTCTTCTGCAATGCCAAAATAAATATTTTTTGATATTTTTAATCAAATCAAAAAAAGAACAGTACATAGCAAATATATATTGTTAAATATAGCTTGCCAGACAAGGTAACATACGTTTACCACCAGCTATCAGAAATAAAAAAAATCTTTAGTGACTTGAAAAGGAATTATCTCAAAATCTTAAAGATACTCTATAAGTCGGGGCAATAGCTATATTTTTTTTTTCAAATTATCATCAAATTCAAACATAAACAAGATCTTATCAACATATTCATTTAATTCGAATTGCATCAAAATTTGATAAACACAGTCGTCTCTACGATCGTTACAGATCAATCGTGACATCATTTAATAGTCATGGGTAATTCCATATATAAAACCAAAATATTGCCAGTTTCACTACTATCTTTCATCAAAGTGAATTAAAAATTTGAACTTTTTAACTTGAAATTTGAGGACAATAACTCCAAAATATATATTTAACACAAAAACTGTTCTTCCGATAATTACGAAAATTAAACCTGACCGAGATCGTATAATATATAATACATTCATACCAAGTTTCATCAAGATCGAATAAAAACTGTAGTCTCTATCGTACAAGAAATGTGAACGGACCGACGGACATGTAGGCGCATACAAAGTGTAGATCACATCGCCAAAAGCAAAGTCGTTCTAGGATAACGTTTTTCCAGTCTATAATTCGAAAGGAATCTTCACCCGATTTTCTGTGTTAAGACGATCAGTTTAATCTGTTCAAAACCACATTTAACGTATTCAATAGAAATGACCTTTCACGAGGATGTTGAATAGAAAACTGGCGATGAAATTGGATGCATAAAAACATTATTCAAAGGTCTTAAACATAAACTTGAAAATTATTATAATATCTTGGTTACCTATCATTTTTCCGCCACAAAATTGAATAACCTCTAAACTACAAAATATCCATGTATGTACAATATATTTCTCGAATATCACTATACTTACCAGACAAGGGTCTTGAAAAAATTGGCTCTGGATTATGCCAAGACAACTACAAAATACAGCAGACCACTGGAATAGATGTAAACGATATTTAAATTAACGAGCTCCTTAATGAGTCGGTGATAATGTTAGAAATAAATAGTTGGACACAATGAGTTGACGAATTCCTGTTTGGAGGGCAAGCTGGTTCGCCCGAAATTTTCCCACGAATTTTACCTGTATTGTTCTTTGTTTTTGGGTTGTTGACCGATATTTTTTCGGACTCATTTGATATGTTAGGCTTCAAATTGTCTCATTATCAAAAATAAGTTATTGCGTTTTCACAAAACAACTTACCAAGAGTGTACTGACTGCCATGCTTGCCTGTTAAAAGCTGAGGAAATAAATGGATGAATATTTATAAATACTGTCAATGTCATCTATCATAGTTGATCAACGGTTTAGACAGATCCGTCAATCACAATAACTCAAAATAAAGTGTCATATCTATTGACTTTCACTAATTACAAGTCGTTTAGACAAGGGTAAGTTTCTTTAGAGTTGGCTATTGCTAATAGTTCATCCTGACATTGGCCCAAATCTACCATTTTTCCGTCAAATTGACCTCTTACTTTCAAGTACGTCTTGAGGGAAATTGCCGATTATTTCCGACGCGAGAATTTTACCACCGGATATTATGAGCAATCGCGACATGTTCTAATTGTTCTCAAGCATTTGATTAATAAAGATAACTGTGAAAAGATGTGATTTTCGCATCTAGTGTTAATAAGCAGAAATATTTTCACGGCAATTAGCAAGAATCATTAATATACAATGATGACGTACAACCAATTTGTATTGTGAAAGTGCCTCTGAAAACCATTGAGTGAACCAAAATGGCGGCATGAGTTGATTGTCTATACAAAAATGTGCTACCAGTCACTACTAAAAAAAAATTTACTATTAATTTACATGTACACAATATCATGAATATACAAGTGACGGCTCTAGCCGAAGTTAGTTAATGAACGTCTCCCAACCATTAACCTATACTAACAGGAGCTCAATCTAATATTTTGGGGAGTTGATATGGGCCTTTTCAATATATTTTATCTCAAATGTACTAGAAACAGAACGAAAATCGCATTATCTCTGCAAAGGGACAGTAAACTATAAATCATTAAAAAAAATCATTTATGTGCTCAAGTGTCCGAGAACTGATTTATGGATGGTGAAGGGCTTGTACTGACATACTCTCGTCTTTGTTTTGTTGATAGATTAACCGACCTCATTTAGAACATAACATGCCTTTTTATATTCCTCACATCACGTATATAATCATCATGAAAATGAGTCCGTTCAAAATTGTCTCTAGAAGACACAGTTCTCGAATAATTATGATTAAAGCTGGTGAAATCGTTTATCGTCGCCAAATAATGAATCCAATCGGGAAAAAAAATCGAAAAATATTTATTAAGTTATCGACAAGCTGGATTATCGGCTCATATATTTATGATATTGTATGTTATTGATCATAATTGAGTATTTCAGTTAAATTCTCTGGTAGATGTGGTTTTAAGCTCTCCAAACTCCATTTCATTAGTTCATCTTGTTTTTCAGGATCTCTACAAAATATCAATAAATTAAATATTGGTAATGATAATATATTGTCTGTTATACCAAGCAAATGTTTCCAAAAACAAAATTGGGCGATCGTTTGTTCATACTTAATTATTGACTGTCGGATATTACCAGACTGTAATTACTGAATAATGAACATTATCAATATTCAGCTGCTCCTTTTATTGGTGTCTTATATTCATGCTATATTCTGATATATATACCTTGCTAGTGAAGATGGTGTTTTGATTTTACAGTCACTCATATAAATACCAGTTTGTCCTTGTAACGAGTTATCTATAGCAGCTTTAATAATAGTTGCAGCACCCTCAAAAGCACTTCTGGCAAAATAAGCTAACAAAAAATATAGATTTTAATCAAACAATTACTTAAATTTTTGTTGATTCATTACTACATAGAAAATAGATATTAAACGAAGAAAGTTTATTGAGTATGAAGCCATTACATTTCCATTTTGTGATGCATTAAAAAGGACCCAGTCATTCGGATAGGACAATGTACCATGGCCCCATGCTCTGTGCACGAGTTTTTTTACAGTTGGACAAGTAAACTGGAAAAAGCCACTCAAAGCAAATTGGACTGTGATACACTGGTGTATTACCAGTAAGGTAGAACGGAAATGTTATTTTACGATAACATTAGGAAATGAAGATGTACTTACTCTTTGCAAATGCTCTTACAAACAAGTAATCATTTGTTTGAGTCATCTGAGTATAGACTATACCAGGATGACACGAGGATATTGTGACCTCTATAGACTTTATATTTCTTATTAACCACAACATTGACATTATCTGAAAATCAAAGATAACCAAAAAAATGATAGGGTGATGATACAACTTCATTTATGACACAACAACTAAATATTCAGTAACTCCAGTGACCATTATGAATGGTATACTACTTCTTAAGAGGGACTAAAAAATTTAATTTTTCAAACTTGGCCAAACTGAGTCTTTGATCATCAGTGGACTAACTGGTGTCATTACTTTTCACCAGAATCCCTCTAAACCTCCAATAAATCCCTAAACTGAGTAATAATTCATTAAACTAAGTTTAATTGATATTAATTAATGGGTATATCGTCTTATATAAAGATTTCATTTTTTTAGTCATGGCACCTAGTAAGTCCAACTGATGAACATATACACTTGTTGGCCAATTTTGAGACTTTAAATTATATGTTCATTCTAAGAGGTACAAGATACAACCCACTAGTAAAAAAATAGAGTCACAATGTACCTCAGTCACAAGATTATAATTCTGGTCACAAGATACAACCATCATCATGGATTGAAGCGACGGGGCAATTAATACAACCCACATCATGAATGGGTCAAATAACAACCATATATACAATACAACCCATATCATGGATTGAGGGGATGTGTCACATAAATACAATAAATTTGTTTTGCAAACATTAGCGCACAATGGAATATTAAAATATCCAGATCACATAATATATGTATTGCGTTAAATTAATTAACAACAAACCTGGTATAGTTTGGAACTACCATAAAATGTTATTTCTCCCCACGATTTCTGAGCATTTATATTTGTCAAGTCAAATTTACCAACTGTATGAGCTATAGATGATGTTTGGACAATCCTGCTGTCATCACCAGATGCCGTTAAAATTGGTAGAAAATGAAGAATGATTAATAGATGAGATAAATAATTAGCTTGTAACATCATTTCATAACCATCTTCTGTTAATTCTGAAATCAAGAGGAGAAGATGATGTCATCATTATCATAGAATACATACAAAGTAATTAAATATGTACATCGTCATGAAATACATATAATATGCATATTATGCACATTGTCACGAAATACATAATATGCACATTGTCATGAAATTGATATATGCATCCAGTTTATACTAAGTTGAATCAGGACAACAGTTAATTTTGCTCGTAAAAATGTTTAAAAACATGTTAATTAAACATCATTAGCATGTCTGAATCAAAAGGGTTAAGGTGTGGCGACTCAGTCCTCGAGTGGCAACAAATTTCTTCTCCCATTACCGATTACCTTCCTAACAGTCATTGGTAGTGGACCTTATGTATACATGTCATGCTTTTCAAGCTACAGTAAATTCTGGTGGCCTTTAACTTTTTAAACAAATTGATTAGAAGATAATACCTTTGGATTTCACTGCTATTCCAGCATTGCAAACCAGGACATTCAATTTACAATTTCTAGCTTTAAATGCTTCAATAAACCGTTTTGTGGCAGCAAAGGAGGCAAGATCTAATTCCATTATTTCAATATTCAACTTCCTTGGATCTCGTCTGTTAGCCTCTAATTCCTTCTCCATCTTCAAACTAAAGTCTTTAATATATTCCTCTTGCATATTTTTAACGGCCTGGGAAAATTAACATTTATCGTCAAATTTTGTTGTCCATAAATTCCGTAAATTTTCGAGCAAGTGTTGAAATTCGGCACCCATTAGCTATTAACGAGCATTACTGATTACATCGTGTTTGATATTGAAACAAGAATATGGAATATCAGAAATTGGCAAATTGAATATTCCACAACGGCTATACATTTAGACTTACTGTTTCGGCCTTGGTCAAATTTCTGCAAGCAATAATCACATGAGCTCCCAAACCTGCTATCGTCTTAGCTGCTTCATACCCAATACCTGTCAACCCAAAAAAATTATAAAGGATTTCAGATTACGAAAAGTTTCATTTCAAAACGCTCAGTGGCTACTACTTCCTAAATGAGACAGGTTCGCCACCTGTTTTATTAATGTAGCTAACTAAGTCTCACAAACCGTCGAAATTTGAGCCTTCAAATCCATGTATGTCAAGAATTATCTGCGTTTGAAAGTTGAGAAGATCTACATATAAATAGAAAGTAAAATTCCGTGCAGTTTGTGGTAGTTTTGAAGGAATTATTAAATCAATGTGCTTTAGTGATAACAACAAGCTGTTGTTATCAATGTTGCTTGGTTACTTGTTAGATGTTAATTTCAGATCATCAGCAACATTAAACGCGTTTAACCTGAATTTCCTCCAGTTATCAAATATGTTCTCTCATGATTGATTTCCTCTTCCGGAAAAGACAACGAAGCTCCCATTTTCACCAAATCTTAGCTAATTGTACACATTTGTGTATTTGTATTTTCCTGAAATAAATGAACGAATCATTCAGTAAAATTTTATCTCTCAAGACAAAATAATTATCCTACTGGCCTTTTTGTTTTGTAGCACAGTCGAGGGCGTTGGTGCTTTACATGACGTCATATGCTTAGTTACGTCGAACATTGCTGTCTGTGGATTCTAATCTCTATCGGCGTGCAAAAGTCCGATGAGGGGACAGTCGCCCACCTTCGCAGCCCTGACAGAGGTTAGAAATTCAGGCAATCGCAGATATTTCCCCCTCCCCTCTAGGAAGTACACCTGGCTCCGCCACTGGGAGTCTTGACACACAGCAATTACTTACTGATTGTAATTAATTGATAGCTTACTTTTTTCGTACGCCTGAAGTCCTACATTTTAAATTTATCCCCATGTGCAAATCTCAGCTGTGATTTTCTATGCGAAACACTTATCGGCAGCATAGAATGAGTGGTACAGAATTGTTTTAATAGCATTAACTCTAGTAGAACAGACATTATATGGGTCAAGGTAGTAAGTGTATGCATCTATTCCTTCCATTCAATTCGTACACATTATACAATTCTAAGACAGAAAAAGGTAGAAGATCGTTAATAGTAATTGTGTTTACTTACCAGGTACATCTATTAGTAAGGTATCCGTTAATGATAAACGTATCGTATCATGTCCCGAGAAGCAAAATAACATATATCATACTGATAACCATCAAATAGACTAGCCTAATATAATATGAACATACAATTCACATCTTCTATTAAGTCGACTAAACACAACGTATTACTCTACATCTCAGTTCGTCTTTAAAGTCGTACGCAGAATGATTCTGTTAATCATTGCTGCTATTTATCGTATAATTTTCAGATTAACCGAAAGTCGCTAGAAATCTTATAAGACTGCCATAGTCACCCGCTGTGTAATGACCTCTGTCGGAGTTCAAACCAAAAGAAAACGATATTATATGGTAGCTATATAGGCCAAAAACATACGATGTTATTATTAATTGGAACATCAGTATACGTTTCGGGTATAGTAAGTATATCGAATGCATCTCGTCAGCTTGTTGAAATTAAAGAGAAAGTATGACAACAAGCATACTCTAAATAATTCGCAAATGTCAAAGTATATACTCCCAGATACAATGAACAATTGGTTGGTTTTGAATTTAAATGTCAAATACAATGTATATATGTTGAGTGTAATAAAAGCTATATAATCGCCGACTTATTGATTGACTTTTTTATACATTCAAATTTTTTCGCTTTACAAAATGTAGACATAACTTTTAGGTTATGACGCAAGGGAACGTGAAATATTGGTCATGCAGACCTATTATCACTATGGTATTTTGAAAAAGAAAAGATACTCCATTTTTAAGTTAACGCTGACTTTTTTCCCCAGATAATGCAATTTCTATTATAGCAGATAGCGTTCAAAAAAATATCAGAAAACAAAAATGAAACGAAAGTATAATCTCTTTTAATTAGTAGGATATATACTGGGACTTTCAATTGAATTTTCTGTTTCGACGCTTTCAACTTCCATCAAGGGAGATAACTATTATTAGGTACCGTTCGATCTAAAAGTCCTTTGTCATTTCTGTTTCCATGTTAAATCACAAAATTTAACCTTTTCCTGGAATCTCATTGAAAACTTTCCAATAAGGTGTATGAAAGTATGGAAATTACAGACCACTGTCATTCCACACAAAACGACTATTTTTCCTGTTATCCTTCCGCATAGAAATCTCTCATCATCTCACAAAATCTGATTTCAGACATCAAATTCGAAATCTAGATCGAAAAAAACTAGACATACAAAAACCTTAAAGGAAGGGAGAAAGAAGATTTCTAAAAATTGCACTGATACAATCATTTGCATAATTTATGGGAGTGGATCCTAAATCAACAGAAACAAAATGGCAACAGCCAGTTTATATTTGATATTTGTATCACTTGATGCTAATTCATTGTCTCCTCGAGATTAAAACAAATATCCGGAACCATTTTCATCATTACTGATTTATTGTTATACACGGAAGTTCTACTTTTAAGTAATGATACCCCGCACCAAACGCTAACCAATCAGATTCCCTAGCCACAGGGTCAATTGGCGCGGTCAATTACAGGATTTTAATGGTCCAGGCCATCGTTCGTCAAAGCTGTGCATAGCAAAGTTGGACTGGGTGATACGCTACTTTCAATTAGATTAAAGCACAGTTCCTGGGGGGGAAATTGCATAATTTTATAGAAGAAAATACAGCCAAGGAAGCATATTAAACTGGATGAAAATCCCTGAATACAATCCTTCTTAGATTTCTTGGAAGACCATATGATTAAGTTTTCTGAAGTTTTTGCAATCAAGGTCTAAAGTCCAACAATTGCGAATTATGGCTAAATATGGTAAGCCTTTTTTTTTATTGATAATACGTACTGTCTTAGCATATGTTTTAGTGCATCTAGTATGCCTATTTTACTTACAATATTTTGATATAAGCTTCAAAACAATACTGATGGTTTAAGTATGACTTTGAGTTGTTAAATATAGTAATTTTTGTAAGTTCCATTGATTAGAAACACACTTTCCTCCCAGAAATGTCAACAAAAAATGTCACAAATTTTGACTGAAATTTGCCCTCTGCACAAACTAACGATTATATTGTGTACTCATGTAAATACCTTTTCCAACGTTAAGCCAGTACTTACACTACTTATTATGAAGCTAATTTGTTATCGAATTGTTATGAAAATTAACGGTAAAATGCGAACCAAAGAAGACAGTAACTATTAAATAAAAACAACACATTGAAACAGAGGAAGTTTATAAATAAATTTATCTAGTAGTTTATAAATCAAAAATATCTGAAAGGTTGTCAGGTAGATAAGGTTTTAAACTCTCAAAACTCCACTTAGCAACTTCATCTTGTATAACTGGATTCCTGTAAAAAGAGCAAATGATAGCTAAGAACGGATGTAATAAACACAATATATTTCATTACTTACACCTTATTGATTTTATGTTGGTAATTAGTTCCTTGTTATACATAAATTAATTCAATTCACAAATACAACTACGTGTATATCTGAAAATGTTTCACAATCGTCGAATCAAATCGCACGATGTCATTATGAACATCATTAAGTATTTTCAGCTGAGAGCTTGAGCACCACGAAACAAAGTAATTATAAGCATTTTGTTTCATAATGCGATTATTGACTGGAATAATTCTTACATTGACAAATCAGATGTACATTTCATTTTACAGTCACTCAAATAAATACCAGTTTGTCCCTTCAATGACTGGTCCACGGCACATTTGATTATGGTTGTCGCACCATCATATGGCCTTCTTGCCATGAAAGCTGTAAAAGTAAATAAAAGTTTTAGTACGTATGAAGCTGTAAATGTGCTTAAATGGTCAAATATATTACTTGCTTTAATTGCTTTTCTACATCATTTATGTCGTCAATTCGTTACTTCAAAGAAAAACGATAAAAGGAAAAAGGTGTATAAAACCTCTGTAGACATTGGAACCAGGTATTCACCATTTGCTCCAAACAGTCAAATTGTCCACGACAGGGCTATCTGACTATAAGATCTGTGATTGGCTACACTAACATTTCTTGCTACACTCACCGTCTAATTAAGGTAGCAAAATCACGAAGCGTAACACCTGAATTTACACTAAATGGCTATGGAAGCATCAGTGGGTTTGTCACCTGCCAGAACCATAGAAAGATTGTTTGTTTTCTCTGCTTTACCAAGAGGTATAATGGGGTTGTGTTTGTCATATAATCATCAAAATTACTTACAATTGACGTATGTTTTAACAAAGAATGAAGATGCATTCTGTGTCATCTGTGTAGACACCAGACCAGGGTTGCAACACGATATTGTCACTGAATTATTCTTCAGATTCCTGGCCATCCAATACATAAACATTATCTGGAAATTAAAATGACAACCGCTTATATTGTGACTTGTTAAAAGTGACAAGCCTGACAAAATTTCTAAATTGCATACAACAGTAATAAGGCAGTTTCAGAAGCTTTGGAACTCAATTTCATTAAATATCAATTCCAGTTGCACTAATGCACCACAGCAGTGTCAATTCGGATCTTGTCTCACCTGATATAATTTAGAGTTCCCATACGTTTTAGATTCGCCCCAGGATTTTTCAGCATTCATGTCATTTATATTATGTTTAGCAAAAATATGCATTAAAGACGAGGTTTGGACGATTCTGCTGTCGTCACCAGACGCCATTAAAATTGGTACAAAATGGAGAATAATTAATAGATGAGATAAATAATTGGCTTGTAACATTAATTCAAAACCATCTTCTGTTAATTCTGGAAAACATGATTGGAATATGAATCAAGTGAAATATTAATAACCACACACTCAAATGCCTCGAAACTTTAGTTTAGTTTGGCAAAATTCATTCGAGATTGAATTGATAACATTATGAAAGTGGTAAAAATGTTCTTAATTTTACTTCACCGGTAGGTTTTTACTTTAACGGAATTAACAACTGGAACTTTTTAAGCTGATTAGCCTGGATGACGATCCTCTTTCATTTTAAACAATAAAATCATACAAATTTTATGATTAAATAAAATAAATAAATATTTTTGAATAAGTTCAGAAAGATTAAAAAACGTTATTGGTCGAAGTTTGCTAGAATCTGCCGATATCGTCATTTCACTGGATTGGTAAACTTATTATCAATTAGAAAGCTCTATTAGATGGTGAATAAAGAAGCATTAACTGGTTGTTAGCTTTGTGGAACAATGATGGTCAAATGAAATTCAAATGCCTTGAAAAACAAAAATGTATGGGAAGGTACAACTTTATGGTTTCTATTTCATTTCATTTTGCGAAGAAGGATCGGGTTTGAAAAGCGGAACTTAATGCTCACATGATGGACATAAGGACATGATAGGGGTCAAAACATGTAAGGTTACCTCTGTTTTGTGCCGATACCCCAGCATTACATATCAGTACGTTTAATTTACAATTTCTGGCTTTAAATTCATCAATGAAACGTTTTGTTGATTTGAATGACGCTAGATCTACTTCCATTACTTCTAGATTCAATTTTCGGGGATCTTTGTTGATGGCATCGGGCTCATTTTTCAGCTTATCGTGAAAATCATCTTCGTATTCTTTCTGCATTTGTTTTATGGCCTGTAAGTATACTTTAAAAATATCAGTTTAATGGGAAAAATTTGCTGTTTTCGGGAGTTGTTTTGGGATTTCGAATATATGTAAATAATATTTAGAGGTACTACAATTGTACCAAAATCGTATAATTCCTTCAAAGATATCTGAAACTAGGAATTTCCGTATCTATTTCTATATTATGTCATTTCTGTATGACAGAGTCTCAAGAAAAGACGAGTCGGTTTTTTTTTAATTTCTAACTTGGATTTGAATGCCTAAATTTCGATGGTGGGCTGTGAACACTGATTATAGCTAAACAAAATCCATGGCGAACCTGCACTTTTAAAGGCATCCCAGAACAATCAATGGAACGAATATCATTTTCCAGTTACAGCATTTGCCAATCTGCGACCAAGATCATAGAAATTATTTTTATTTTTCAAAAGTATAAACATTAATTATAAACGTAATATTTTTGATATCTCATTTTCGAACTTAATACATAACGAATTGTATTTCTTTGAACGAGACGCGGCTAAATCCAGCTTTGTTTGTGATAGGTTATGATACTTACGGCTTCAGCTTTAGGCATATTTCGGCAAGCAATTATCACATGACCTCCTAAAAGCGCTATATTTTTAGCAACTTCGTAACCGATTCCTAAAAAGACAGGATACGGAGTACATACAAGTCGAAAAGTCAAATATTTGTTTGTAAGAATTAAATTGGATGGACTGAGCGGCAAAATAGGACCAGACCTCGAAAACTATTACCCTGATAGAGTTTGAAAATACAAAAATACAACTGAAAACCAGTTTAGCTTCTTCAAATGCATTCCTAATATTGAATGACAAGAGCTCACATTAAACAGCAACGTTTGTTTCTGGGGTTATTTGTTGGTCAAATAATGAAACGTCTTTTCACCTGTCGTCAACCCCATAATAATAAACATGAAGTAATATGTCTAGCCTATAAAAATTAGCCCGGGTGATATTTTGAAAAAGAGTTAAAGATTCCTCTTACCTGTATTGCCACCGGTCACCAAATATGTTCTATCTGGACTGATTTCGTCTTTAGGAAAAGACAATGAAGCCCCCATAATGCAGTTTCCAAATAAGATTCACCCACAGTTCCTGAAAAAGGGTAAGACATATTGGTTTGATAATGCATCATGCCATCAAGAAATATGAATCCAACTTTATACATCTTCCATATGCAATTAGCAATTTCTGGTTGCTTGTAACATTGAACTGTGGTTAGTTAATGCACAGAAAATACCATGCAAACGTAACAATCATTACAGATACCTATACAGTCCTAAATAACAGTTATTCTTACCGTTTTCTATAATCTATAAGCTGAGAAATAATAATAAAAAAAAATTCTTTCGCATACGTGATATCACTTCATATATGATAATCAATTTCTGATGTAAAAATTCATACAATTTCATAAACTAAATTTTTCATTTGATCATCACTAATATTGACATATCAATGTGCTTGAGTTAATGAGTAAGTTACTTTTTATAATATATCTTTTATCAGTGCTCCTTCGACCAAAACGACCCCTTGACCCATTAGCAATTTGAGCATACTCAACATATTGTTAAAACTCAAAAGAGTAATATACGTCATGTGAACTTATAAAAGCGTTTGACTTAACTTAAGTACAGTCACTGAGTGCTGATATATATACAGAAAGGCCCAATTTCTTAATAGAGGATAGTTGTGTATGGTTATTACGTTTGGGCTTCTACTTATATAAGGCCTATGTTTGGTGATATGTCTGTCTAATCGGATATGGATATACCAATTGCAAAATTAGAATATCCAGTTTTACTCTTACATTCAAATTTCGTATTAACGGAAGTTTCAAATAATTGCCTTGCTGAGGCTTTTCCAAGACAACGATTCACAAGTGACAATATAATATAAGATTAAAATCTGGGGCAAAGCCAGGGGTAAATTTAGGCAAGGTATGACCGTAGGTTTTGATATTTCAAAGATTTTTTAGAATGTTTTTCATTCACATCCCAGAGATCACGCTAGTACTTGCAACGTACAATATAAACAAAGAATTCTATTTAAAAAATCTTATATAAAAAAATCAAAACTTACCTTCAAGCGAATTAGGTCATGAAATAAGCCATTAGAAGTAGAGCATTGTGTATAGTAGCTATAAATAAGTATACTACTTTGTGTTTGAACAATTCTATTGATAAACTGATGAATTGAAATAAGGACTACAGTCATATCATTAGCCTATTGATGAGCATTACTTATCTCCCTTTAAATGTTCAGTAGTCGAGCTGGATTATCTTGTGTCGAGAGAAACCTGATCTGAAGATATGTATTATGCACAATAAATATAATTTGATTTAGTATCAAAGTCAGTCATCTTTCCATAATTCTATTGAATGTCTTCATACCAGTGGCGTTTCTACTATCTCCACAGAACTGAGGCAGAGACATAATTTCACCCTTCACTCTCAAATTTCATTACATATGGGAAGGAATTGCCTTTGACCGTAGCCGACACTTAATATTTGTTTAACAAAAAAGAATGATTAATGATAGCGACTAAAATTTATAGATAAGTAAATCGAAAGTAGACCACTAGAGCTGATAAACAACCATATGATCAGTTTTGGAAAAGAACAGTATTTAAATGACCCATATACATAGTCTTATTAAAGCGATTCATGTGACTCGAATTGCAAAAAGCAAGTATTTTACATGGGAAGTTATTTCTTTGACGTATCTTCAATCAAATACAAGGAAACGTAAAAATGACTTAAAGGCCATGGTGGTCATTTTCGCGGGTTAATTGTAATCTTGAATACATTTCAAACGCGGATAATTCTAGACTCACATTGATTTGAAGACTTCAATTTCGACGGTGAGCTGTGAAAACTGTTATTGATTAGCTCAACAAAACAATTCCCGTTTCTGAGACCTTGAGTAATGATGACTAAGGTACGATTGTATGGCATACGTGTACCTTTATATGGCATGGATGGAATTGTGCTTTATGCAGATTGGCAGCGTCATACATTGTCAAGGGAGAGAAACATTTCCAAGACGACGTAACTAACGTTCTCTTTTTCGATTCCAACAGTTGGTAAATCTAAAACGTGCACAAATTTTAGAACACTACTTTATTGTTCCATCTGAACGACAACTTGTTCTTTTCACCTGTATCATTGGCAGGAAGGAACAGAAAACATTCCACGGTATCATTTCGAGATGAACACAATGGGTTTCACTAACTAAGCCACCGTGGCTTCCAACAAATAAATTGAAACTGATTCATAATGGGTTTATAGATACAATGCTTTACCTTGTAGGTCTATAGAACACATTATATATAAATATCTGAAAACAGGAATTTGTATAAAAAGCTCCTTAAGAGATTGGGCTGAATAAATCGTTCTATCTATATTAAAAATTAATAGTTGGATGCCTTTCACGATACAGTTATAACCATTGTGATGTTATATATTTATGAAATTTTAAAAAGTTGACTACTGATAGATACAATTCTTTTTTTCTGAACGTCTGGTTTTTACTTTTATTACCTTTTACGCTAATGAGAATGATGTGTCAATATTTCTTGTTAATTAATATATATTCTACACTCTGATTTAAAGCCAATTTATGCAAGTTGTTGGAGCTGAGACAGTAAACGGGAAATCGTCGATCATCGCTATTTGATTTTGGGGTAGGGAGTGTTTGATTCTCCCAAACGTAGACCTGGTTGGAACATATACTTCATTAAGAAAATGGACTTTTCAGTTTTGAGAAAACAATCGTGCAAACTTGGTTGAATTCAGTTGATCTTGTGCAAATTCGATGAAATTGTACAACTAAATTATTGTGACTTAATTATACCAGAAAAGGTATTCTTTGGGTGAACTGAGCTCTTGTGGTGAGTATCAGTTTCCTTACAAAAACCTCAATATCAAGTTTATTCGTATCTATTACAGAATCTCCCTTGTAGACAGTGGTATCTAGAATATACTCTCTTGTGATGGTGATTAGTGAGAATTCCAAAGAATTCACAAAACTGTTCTATCGAATAAGTCCAAACCATGAAAATATCATCTAGCAAACGACCAAAAAAACAATGGGCCAAGAACCTCATGTTCACACGAAAAGGTTGGCGTATGATAGGGCGAAACGCTTATACATAGCAGTCCCCTAAGTTTGAAGATTTGTTTTACCATTATGGCAAAAAAACTATCGAATTATCGAATTCTGTCGAACTTGAAATGGAATCAGATACACGGTTTCTTCTTAATGCATCTAAATTACCTGTTTCTTTTTACCCATTCAAACAACAAACTTCTTATAAGGATGTGCTATTTTGTAACTTTGTCTATGGTTAATCTTTCGTCTCCATTCCTTTTATCTTATTTTAAGTCGGAAGTAGAAATTTGGTGCTATGTATATCGTAAGAGGTAAGTTGCTCTGAAAATCTGACATATCATTTATTGAAATAATGAAGTTTGTCTTATCTATCTTTACCGTCGGCATTATTGATTTTGAAAGCTCCCCTGTATCGTTATTTGTTAAATGCACAAATGGCTGTATAAGTTTACCCTGAAGGGCTCTTGTTTCATATCAATTAAGAACAATATTTCAATCAATGCAAATGCAAAAATATTGCCCATAAGATATTCAAATTAAAAGATACTTTTAACGTCTACTTCAAGACTCTGAGAGCATGAGGCAATGAAAATACAACGGGCCTTGATAGAATGGTCACACATATATAAATATATCGGTTTCATTTATTCCTCAATGTTTTGACATGGACTTTAAATCCGCTGGTATGTCAAAACCTTTAAAGCTGTAATTTTGTGAAAAAATGTGGAAAATATCTATTATTATGAGATCAAATATTTTGGTCCTAGCTTTGATTATGTATTAATAATCCTGAAATGAAAAGACAGTGTTATCGTTTTTTCTTAGCCAACTGATACATTTTGACTTCCCCTGCTTGACCAATTAAGCTTGTTGTTTTGATCACATTTATTCTGATGTATGGAACTGTATTCAATGAACACGAAACAGTTTACAATCAACATTTTACACAGGTGAGTAGATGTGAACAATGAGCACATCATCATGACTTCTTTATTTTTAAGTGAGAGAGAATCCCAAGCGACATGTACAATATAAAGGCAATTTAAGGCAATACACAGGTAATCTGTAATAACGTCCTCCTGCTGAACATTAAAAAAGCAATAAATGACAGAATATCCGAAAAACTAACCATGACAATTTATTGCGCAAATCATTTTCACTATCAAAAGGTTCACTTAAATCGCCGGAAAAAAACCCATATGCCTCTAATTATATTTGTACATTTTCTTTGTATTTGTCACCCTTTTACTCATACTTTGAGGTATACGCACTCACGTTACCATTGTTGTGGTACTTATGGGCATTAAACTTGGTCAGTTCAGCAAGTACATATTCAATCTAAATGTCTTCCTAATTTTATTGATGTTCCAAATTACCTTATGAATAAAACTTACGTGCGCAATGGAGTGTAAAAATATACAAAAGTGTTGAGAATTGTAGAAACAATTATTGATAGTGAAGTGATTAAGAGGCATTACAATAAGTGTTTTCAATAGACCGCGACCAATTATATAATATTTTATATTGTAGCTTTGCCATCAACCAATTTAAAAAACTTGAAAATATTTATGTAAGTTTGGATGAACTGTGTAATCCTCAGAAAGGTGTTAATGACCAGATTCACGGAGAAGAAACCACAAAAAACCCAAATGAAATGAAATGTCTTAAATTTGGCTCTAGACAAAGTAATCAAATATTCATACTGCCGAAAATTTCAAATAGTTCACAAGACAAATATTCAAACTTGCATCGTGAATATTGTGTTCTCTTTCCTAACCAATTGGCTCCTTAGTTCACTGCTACATTGTATTTTACAATGATAAACGTAAGATGTTCACTTCCGGTCACTATACTGGGTCCATTCGACAATTCTCGGCAATGTCCGTAAGCTGATTCTTACTCGGTAATGAATGGTGAATTCCGTTGTGTCTTCTTGGGCGAGACTCTTCACATCCGGTCCAGTGATAGTAATATTCCAACCTAAATATATTCCTTGAATTGAGAAACTTTGGAGATAAATCTGACACTACATAATTTATGTATTTAATGCTCTATTGTGACTACTGGTTATACAATGATACATTTAATTAATAACTTTGAATACATATCTTACGGATGGTTTGTTTTCATTGACTTTGTTTACAAACACTTGAAGTCTGGAACGACCAGCCTCTAATATTTAATTTACCAGAATGACGTGACAATATTGACCTAGAAAAATAAGACAATTTTATGGATAGATACTTCTGGTATATTTATTTCTTCAATGTTTCAATGTGGTTCTCACACCGTCATCAGGAATATAATATATTGACATAGATCCGATAAGAAAATTGGCCATTCATTACCATGATATGTTGCAGAGCGCAAGCGTAACTTTGACGGAGGCGGATGGTACTTGGTGCCTCCACCTAATAATTCATAAAACCCTACTGAATACAATAGGCTAAAGCAGGCCTCACACTACACAGCACACTCCAAGGCATAGTAGTACAAACATATTGATCGTATCGCAGGCTATCGTGTAATCCATCCCCTCACTCTACATGACAACTTAAGCAATGTCGCGAGCCAATTTGCGTCATAAATGTTGACAAAAATGGATTCATCGGATGAAGATGAAGCCTTGGCTCTTGTCGTACATGACCGTGTGTCGTAGCGTGCGTACGTTTGTGCACAACATCGTAGCGAAATCGCACAGTGTGAGGCCTGCTTAAGCGCCCAATGGTTTTTTCTTTTTTGCTCTTGATTTATTGATTAGAATATCATACATCGTTTGATTGAATATTTGAAATGGTGAATGGATTTTCTGCTTTCCTCGAGTCTACTTCAAAACTACTCACAAAATGTTCTGGAAATATTTTTAAAAACCACACATAACCAACGTCCCTCAATAACCCTAATTCAAAGAATTCAAAGAGTTCCAAGCTTTTTGTTCCAGATCTATATGTTGATTTAAAGATCTTAAAGGACTTCGAATCAATTTGCTTTTACGTTACCACCCCAGAAATCGTTAATAAAAGATTACGAAGCCCAACATTTGAAACATGAACGGAAAAGGGACTAGTCACGAAAAAAACGTTTTGAATTATTCTTAATCTCGAAATAGCCAGTATATATCGAAATATATTGATATTTTATTATAATGTTTCTGATTGAAACACTCCATTGATTACTAAGATGATGAATTTCCTATTTGGCCAATATTGGATTTTTTTTTATAACAACCGCGAAGAGAAAACCGAGTTAGATTATCTGATGGCAATAATATGAAACTTTCTAACTACTGACAGGTTATTGCTGTAATGTTATGATTATATTTTAGAAACAGGCATTGGAATTCTTAATTTATGAACTCTACAATTTATTAGTTGTGTATTGCACAGACTTCTTCAAAGCTGATTTTGGTATAATCTTTGGTTTGTGTGTAGGTTTTTGAAGTTTGCCTAAAGGATTGGTCGGTTGGAATATACCAGCATTAAGCTTATGTGTGACCAGATGCTCTAAAAATGCCGTCTAATAGGATTTTCGTTGTCCGCGAAATGCGACATAACAAAGTAATTCCTATCAACACGGACTCTAATGACATATCTAAGGATGAGCTCAAGGATGAATTAGCCGAGTACATCGAGAAGAACCAAGGCCTTGACATCGAATCACCTTATAACGATTCAGAATTTTTCCGTAGCATTAAACCCGTTATTTACTTTCTTCGAGTGTTTGGGTTATTTTTCAAACGTTATAAATATAATGGGAAGTGGCAGACGGATGGATGGATTATCATGTGTATATTTATGTGTTGTATTCAATTGTTCAACTTGGCAAGATCTTGTTTAGTTTATAGCGGAAGTGACGAATTTGATGAATTGCTATTTTTCAAAATCCAATCTACTATATGGACTCTTGAAAACGCCGTAAAGATGCTCGGCCTCATGTATGCCCTATTCAAAAAGAATAAACTACCCTTGTTCTTCCAGTTATGGACAACAACGTGTAAAGACAAACCGTTAGGAAAACATTTGAAAGCTGTTATGAAATTTTCACTGATGATATCCACGAACTTTGTCATCGTCAATATTTCTAGTTTGATTTTAGCGTTTTTAGCAGTGCCCGAATTGGGGGATCTGTTTCTTCATGCTACGTGGCCTGGGATCGTTGGTTCTTCCAACAATCTCATGTTTAAAGTCATGTTCACGATATGTGTTTTCGTGAATTCTGGCATAGCCATGTATTCTGTGGCCTTCATGATAGTGTTATGCTTTGCTTTATCTAGAGAATTCTATGAAGTAACCGATGAAATCAAATCATTTGTAGAGAAAGATGGTGGATTTTCTGGTGATCTTGAATCTATTCGATTGCGTCATCAAGGGTTATGTAGGATGACTAACATTCTTGACGATAGTTTTATGGTCGTCATCGCTATTGTGTATATTGCTGATGTTCCTATGTCGTGTATTATCTTATATAATGCTATCTATGTGCAACATACTTTGGCATTAACTTTACTGAATGTATTTTGGATGGTTATTTTGATGGTTCATATGACAATTGTATCTATTGTTTGCGCTCTTATCAACGTCGCTGTAAGTAAGGGTTTTCTTTAGTAGTTTATATGATTAATACCATATCACGATCAAAGGTAATTCGATGGCAGGATTGTCAATATAGGATATGGAAACTCTTATATAATATCCAGTCATTTTTCGTCTTTTTCAGTCACGAAAATATTGCCCACATAATTTACTCTTCTTAAAAGTAGTAAAATGTACTTTTTTCCAAATTCATAATTAATAATAATTGTGCCCATAAAAGTTCTGAATGTATTTGCTTGATCCGAAAACAAATTTCCATATATCACAAAATCACAATTTTCCTTCACAAAATGCCTTTTTTGTCACTCTCAATAGTTTTGAATTTTAGAGCTCCCAATTTTTTTCCAGGCGCACACACCTTTGGAAGAACTGTACAGAATATCAGCTTCACAGCTTCAGAATCAACAAATTCAGGTAAAAGAGTACTCACTATTAAAGCCGTTTCTTTTAATTTAATTTGCCAGTTGCAACCTGGTAATTCTGCTTCAGAGCATCATAAGGCTATCGTACTGGGGATATCTGGAAACATTGCGTTGCATTGACGTTACAATAGCTTGTTTGTATATAACATTATTAATTTAGCATATAAACATGGCTGTTTAAGAGGAATGCAGACCCGAATCACCTAGATGCCGAGAGTGGAACGGTCTAACTGGCCTGTCCTTTCGTCTTATTGAGTAAGGTGGAGCTAGACTTAAAAACGAAGAAAGTTTCTGACCCTTACTCGAGATCCTAAAGAAAATGATCTGTAATCTGTTTTTCTTGCAGTTAATTATGTTTATGAACCGACTTACTGGGGGTGAGGTTGGATTAACAGCTATTAAAATGTTTATTATAAATAGACCAACTATACTAACAGTAAGTATAATCTGCTTCGTTAAAACTAAAAAAATTCTTTGTCCGAACTCTTCCCATTTTACCAGATACAAAACCTTGCTGATTCTCAGGATTTTTTTTTGGCTGAAGATTTTTTTGCTCATGTGAATATAGTTGATTTTCAGTCATGTATGTTTATTCTTTTTTACGGTGTTGCTTGATGATATAAATTTATTTGCAATATTGTGTTCTATTCAACATGATTTGAGCTAACAATTGTAAATGAATAGCAAGGTAAATGGTGTTGTCCAATACTTTTCATATTACAATCCTCTGGATAGATGATATAAATCTCGGGACTTTAATTTCGAGATACTGAAAAGTTGCCGGGAATTCTTCTAAGCTGATTATATCTGGACACCCGGATTTTTTATTTGGTCCTGATAACGCTACATCATTTAATAAAGCAGCGTCATATAGTCTTATCAGACAATTAAATGAGTTATAGTGAGAGATTCAATTCGAGCTACTATCTTTTGTGCAATATTTCATCAATATTCAATATCTAAATAAACAAATCGATGATCGATTATTTGACAGTAATTATGAATCTACACAAAATTACACCACTTATCGAATAACTTATGAATAATGCCAAAATACAAGATTGATAAATAAATAAGTCTTCTTATGGACTTTTCTGAAAATCAATGCCCTAATTCCAAAAAACAATAACTTCAATATTTGATGAAGGTCATACAAGACGGTATGACGCTTGGTGGTAGTCATATACAGAAAAAGTCCATATGATGGCGAAGTTTTCGATTTAGAATCATATACAAATATACTATCAGTTTTTTTATTCTATGACTTTATTAGACATAGCTCACAAATAATTTGCATTTTCATTGAATTTTATGCATTGTGCTCTGACAAAATACTACTAGTCAATCAAATATTTATGACAAATAACTGCCAGCGGTATAGCTTTTAGGTGTGTGTGTGTGTGTGATGGTGCGTTTGTAGGGGGAGGTGTACACAATTTGGTTTGATGAGCGAATGTGACGACAAAAATAGTCACAGACCAATTATTTTAATGTTATCTTGAAATCTTTTATTTCTAGGTAATTGGTATGCTCATCACATATTTTGTATTACTGGTTCAGTTTAAAACACCAGCAACCGCAATTTGCCATTGTAATTCAACATCGTCGTAATTTGAGTGCTGTTCAACTCCGAACTTGACAATTCAAAACTGTGTATTGTTTAATGTATGGATAGCGTTGTGATTCATGTGATTCGGAGATCCACCCAACGCTAAGAGATTCAAAGAGACATCATTTGTTGGTAGATTTAGGAGCTTCATTTGGTGTTGGGACACATGTTGTTGCCGTTCGGGAATCCATAATAGGAGTGTCAGATGTTGGCAAATCTAAATTGTTCAAATATTGGCTTCTTTAGTTGATAGATTTAAATCACAACCACCCGCATCATTTTTAGCAATAATATAAGTGCACATTACTATGCTTATAACAGTTTTTCTGCACCTCCACAAGAAAGCTTTTCTGAACAAAAAGAATTGTAGGATTTTAAAAAGAATTAGAAATAGTTGAAACTGAACCATTAATGTGAAAGCAAATATCCTGACGACTATGTCACTTTAGAGTCGAACTAAAGTTTCGTATTATGAATGGATATTATCAGACTCAAAAAAGGATATTATCATTGTGTTATGCATCACCAGAGGTAAACTTAAAGTTAAAAATACGAAAAAGGAAAACTAATCTTTTTATAACCTGAAGCTTACCAGTCACCCAAAACGACGATCAAATTATATAATTAACATGAATTAATGCTCCTGTTTTCTGCATTTATTTAAGTAGAAAATTAACTGTGCTTTTAAAATGTAATTGAAAAAAGCCAAAAAAAAAAAAAAAAAAAAAACGAACGTTTTATCTCAAAAAACCCTTAATATGTCGCCTTCCTTTTGCAGAGCTAAAATTTTCCGATACATATAAATTCACACAAGAGTAGAGCTGAACTGGTAAAAATTTCCCACCTCGCACCCTGTGATCTCAGAAATATATGATACCTTTTCGATTAACCATCAAATGAATATTGTTCTTCCAACAATGAATACACACGTATTGCATAGAGAAATTAAAGATGCTAAGAGGTGTTTCATTGCACGTCACCTCGCCTTCATTAATCCACATGGTCAGAAAAGTAGCACGTAAAACTCTATTCATTTCATTTCACTTGCACGTTGGGGTAATCTGAACACATATAGATAGCAGACTTATATCAAGACACACAAAAATGGTAAAATATAAAATTTATTTAAAATGGACGGATTAATTAGTGAGGGCATAATTAGTAAATATAGTAATCTACATCAACTTAAAATTTACAATACTATTAAAACGTTGCGAATAATAACGGGATCATGTAAACCTCAGTTCATACAATGACTTGGTTCATCAGTTAATGGATTTTATAGATGTCCAAGGTCTTGTTCAGTAAGGGATTGGGTCACATATAGGGGTATTTCTGTGTAAACTAAGTGTTTTCTTTCCGTTAAGATTAATATGAATGAATTATGATAATTCAATAACAATTTGCACTTAAGGTCTCATCAAACAGGAAATACGTTCTAGCTACGCTGCTACTGCTACTGAAAATTGGCTCAGTGCCTGTTAAGGTCGCCATAAGCGCAGAATAAGAGTGTAGGACACGCTAGGCGTCGTGCAATTGTCGCCACTATTCGAATCACGGCGTTTTGTTTTGGACGCTGCAAAAACGTTAAGTTTGTAATTTTTTTAAGAACTTATTCTCCAGTTTTCTTCTGGTTAGTACATTTCCAGTCGCTGAGAGCAAATGGTCACAGTCCTGTGTGACGGGGTCACAGTCCTGTGTGACGGGGCTATCACTATCCGTAATGCATGTTTGCAAAGAGCCACAGTGATAAAAAATGCGATCCGAGGTATCTTCACTGTAACCTTCTTACACTTCTTCAATCGTGGGTCATATCATTGGTAATGAAAATATAGTATAAATCTGTTACATTTACTTATATGGGGTATATATACATATAAAAGCAAGTTCACCATCATAAACAGTTTGGGAAATGTCGGATTGGTAAATGTGATTCAAAATTTTGGTCAGATTTGACAAAATTAAAGAATGTTCACACAAATCCGACATCCCGATCAACAAAAAACATAATAACAAAATAACACAACGCCACTCAAGACAAAAATGTACATCAAGAGTTGCAAATTATTAAAGGAATTACAAGTTATTTCCTAGACCTGAATGTGTATCGGGGACATTTGCACCATCTGTTGTTTACTTGGTGGTAAATACAATTCCTGAACAACAGTTTGCCTGCGTTTGTTACGTCATAATCTGATCAAGATTAATTAACTTGGAGAATTGAGTGTCCGCGATACACATAAAATTTTTGCTATAATATAATATCGCTGTAATAACTGCCGTATGAAAATTAAAAGTAATTAATTAGCCTGCCATTACCTGACAAAACTCATCTTTGTTTTAGTAGGTAGGTCTACACTGCAAATATTGTATATGTAGCTTCGAAATAATCGACTTTTTGAATTCATATGTACCGACATTTTTTGACCTTTTTCACAACACAATGTAAGTGTGAACATAAAAACGAAAATGTTAGCTAATTTCGCTGTATTTAACAATTTATTGTTTAAGCATAATTTGGTTGAGCGTGTTTCCACGGTGAAAATTTGACGGGATTTTTCGGTCGAAGTCTGTCAATATCTCCACCACCACATCTGAAATGATAAAATTAGAAATTTCCAAATGAAGAAAGTTTAATTAGTCACAGAATAGTGTTTCCGAACAATCCTAATCTACTCGATGAATCCATGACTTTGGAAAAAATTTCCCACACCACTTCACCAAAAACCAAACAACCGTTGAAGCAAATATTCTGCTATTTTTTATGTCTTTCACCGCAACGATTTCGAAAGACTTCACAGGGTAAAAACCGTTACCATAGAAATCAGTTAAGCGATATATTGAGTGGATTTGATATTTTCATTTTTCATTTTCTTAATAAAATTTCTTTTTTTGTAAAATTTTGCTCGAGACATTTTCCTGATTTGCCTGGATGTAGTTTCGGGCCTGGTTGAGAAGAACATTGACAGTAACTCACATACTATCGGTCTCCTGGAGGAATATTGGCCTTTTAGAATACGGATTAGTTTCGGATTATTTATTGCAAATTGACCTTCATAACATTTATCGGTACTCACTTTTCGAGGGTTAACTGTAACATGTTGCCTGCACTCTTAATCAACTGATGAGCTTGCATGTGAGTAAGGTGTTGAGCATTGGTATTACCGATACTTAATATAATATCACCAGCACTTAAACAATGACTAGCTGGTGACTGAGGTTGAACCTGAAATTATAAAGTTTCAGCCTTTTTTAGAGGACCAATTCGTACCCTCAAAATTCGGGAGAAGGGGTTTAGTTCTTTTGCGGTTTTCTTTTTCATAATAGAATTCCTGTACTAGAGAGCATGTACTAGTAATGATACTACCAACCGAATCTACAGAAACCATAAGTTGAATCTAGTTCCACATGTCTCCTACAGGGCACCGAAGCATGTGACAAGATAATAGATCCTGACAGTATACCAATCCTCTTTGCAACAAACAAAAAACAGCCATTGGCCGCATGAACATAGACAAGATTGCATCGTTAAATGACACCGAAGAATTTCAGAATGAAAAACATAACATTCTGAACAGTCAATAATCAGATGATGAAAGATTAAAATGCAAAGACAAAATTTTGATTTCAAATTTACACCTGTTATCTCATTATATTTCCGTCTGGATTTAATTCTTAATTTACAGTTAAACTTACATTCCCGGTTATAATATGAGCGGAGGGCAGTAAATAAGTACTGTCAACTTGTGTAAGTGTCTGAATAAGAAAAGGATTGATGCAGATATTGATTTTGTTTACTTTTCTCAAATAAGGACGTACTTGTAATAGTTTATTGCATTGATTGATTTTTAGATGCTTTCAAATCATCAATATGCTTCTTTGTTCATTATGTTTCCTTTTCTTATGCTAGTTTTCAAGCAGCTATTAAAATGAATAAAGCAATCGATGTCGTTATCAATTTGAATACTTAAAGGGCACATATATCGAAATTTTCCTATGAAAAATTGGGTTTCTTCTAACACTATTTTACTTGCCCCAGTCCCATAATTTTAGAAATTTGCTTTTTGGACGTAGATGAAAATACAGGAATAGGGATCAAACAAAAACAAAGGATAATGGGAGTTATCTCCCTTTAGACACACAATTTGGTAATCCATAGTTGGATGAGTAGACCAGTAGTTAAAATCTTATCCATTTCTGTTGGTTACCAGGTTTACTTACTAAAAATTACTGCACTTAAAAGCCAGTAAATTTTATATAAAGTATAAACAAAGAGACTCAATAACCTTTATATGAATAACACATAAAGTCTTCAACTTGAGAATTAGAATCAGGCATTGTTCACAGGGTTGAACTACTTTCACTTTGTGTCAGTGTCATCTGATATTGGTTCAACATATCCTTATTCAGTGGGTATGAATTTACAAGGCTTACTTCCAACCGAAATAGAACTTGAATTTTAAAGAATACACAAGATTTCCCCTTTAAAAGTGTATCTGGGACACTTAAAATAAGTTTTTCCATTTCCTATTCAAAACAAGCTCAATTAAGACGACACATTTCAAGGTAATTGGTGAAATTACTAGCTCAGGTACAAATACAAAGAAGAAAAAGAAACCTCGATTCGAATTTATTTAATGGCAATAATATGGTGACACGAAGATAAATATCACAATGTTCACAAGTATAAATTGTGTTGGAAATATTACACGTTCCAATCTTCGAAAAAGTCACATATAACAAATGTTTGTAATGACCCTTCCAACGAAATCGAATGCACTTCATAAAAACTGTCACGTTCTCAACGCATCTTTAAGTGACGTATTATTATGTTGAATACAGAGCATTTAGTTGGTAATAAAATATCGGATTGATTTTATTGCAAAAAAGGCAATAGGAAGTTATTGATAAATTGATTTTTTAAAATGGAATAAAATTAGTAATATTCATTTTAGTTACATTTTCCTTTTTTTACACTCCGGAAATATATCCTTTTGAAAAGTGTGCTTTTCGTTTACGTATTACTATTTCAAGTACGATTTCAAAGTATGTTTCATAACAGATAAAAAGTAGAGGACATGTCAGAAAATAAGAGATCAAAGTATAATGTCGCTTGTAAAATGAAATTCACCAACACCACTTTCATGACAGACAGGAAAACGCATGGTAAAACTTTGCTTCGTATGGTAAGGGAGGGGAGATAGTTGTTTTGTCTATTGATCTCAGTTTAATCAATATATATATATATATATATCTTAAACACATGTTGCACATATTTTAATGATTTAAATAATGCTCTCAAAAGAAACTTTTCTTATAAAAAGTGAAATGAATGTAGTTTTACGTCCTACTTTTCTGCACCAAGTGAGCTAATGAAGACGGGCAACACCATGCAGGGTGCAATGAGAAAAATTTGGCCAGGACAGCGGCATAAGTCTGCTCTTTTCCGATTTCCAACTGTCGAGGGGTCTTTAACGTGCAAAGTCTGTAGCAAACGAGGCTTCGGTTGATTGTCCCAACCGAACGACTAGACGCTTATTCCATGCCACGACAGGGGCCGGAATTGAACCCCGGACTTTCCCGTCTACAGAGCAAGCGTCTAACTCACTGACAACACCGCGACACCGCAAGATACCAGATTGATCCGAAGATACAAAGCCAAACCAAATCAAACCATCCATTTGTAGCCATCTGCGAAGTGGCAACCAGACAACCAGAACCAACAACGTACTACGACACCACCACGTTGCCACAAGGTCGCATGTCCTCATTCAATGCACTGAATTGAAACCCGCTCGTAAGCCACTGACACAGTATACCTGGAAAGCAACGGCATACCACTCACCATACAGTTTTTGCTCCACCCAAGGACCACTGGTATACGATAATGGAACTCGTCTTCCATTTTATAACCAAATCTGTCTTGAACAGATAGGCTAAGATTTTATACTCAAAGTTTCTTAACACTTTTAATTACGTCCAATCAATTTAACAAGTTTCATTGCAGAAACATCTTTCCCCCTTTTGTTGAAAGCTTTTCCCCCTTTTATCCCCCCCCCCCCTCTTTTCTCACTTTTTTTCAGGTCTTCTAGTTTTCCAACAGTTATTAGATAATCTAACCAAACCAAACTAAACCAAATCAACAAGAAATACCATGATCAGAACGAGTTTGGAAGAATGAAGGAGATCGAGTAAGTCTCGCCACACCACCCAGGGCTGGGTTTCACCGCTATGTCATTCAACCCGACCAGATCTAACGAAGAATCAACAACCAAACCAACAACACAGAATCATCCAATTTGAACCAATCCAACTACCAACTACTACGACTACCAACAACTACCTAGTTTGCGATATCAGCCTCCGCTGGAAGCGATCGCTTATTTGTCATCTACCAACCAACCAACCAACGCATATTTCAATCTACATTTCATGAGAATGTATGGATATATGTGCATAGCAATCGTTGGAGAAATACTACACACCTAGAGCCATTTCTCTTTTAACTAGCTGTTTGATAATTACAGTGAATTTCTATATGCAATTCTTTGAATAAAAAAACATACTGAAGTTATTTTGAGAAAGATTCTAGAATATTTGTTGAGGCGAGAAGCTGTAAACAATATATATAGGTGGATGATATGTTTTTCTCAATGGATTTGGTTTAATGCCAAATTTCTTTGTCTATTTTTCTCATCACTATCTTCAACATGACGATTTATTACTTACAAAATTAGATCAAATCTTTGATAACGACTAAAAATACTTGTAGGGGAAATTGATTGGCTACTTGCGAGCCACACCCATAATAAAATCAACAATATTTTGTAATTTGTTTAGAAAGAAAACTTCGTATAGAACAGATTAAATCCAGTGATATACATATCATATACATATGAAAATTGTACTTGTATGCCTGGCCTGGCGAATAAGAAGCTTCCATTTTGTTCAATGATACAAGTTTAAAAGATTCCAAATTTGTCAACGGTATACATGTACTTTTGATTATCAAGTAACCGATTTCATAAACAAAGTGCCAGGTTTTGTCGTCGGATTATGTATTGCATATAAAGTTTGTTTAAGGAAAGCCTGGTTTGGTGGTGATAAATGTTATGTATGAACATAAATTCTGTATACCAACGTTCGAATATTCAGAAGAATAATTAGCAGTTAAGCTCGAATAGGCATCTTAACAAATTTCAATTCAAAGGCTCACCAGTATTGAAGGTAAAAATAAAGCTAAATAAAAAATAAGCTACAGAGAGGTTATGGATACTAACCAATATAAATATCTTATATGAAGTTTACAATTTGAACTTTAAAACAGTTATAACAGTAATTCAATATTTGAGTTCCGCCCAAAATAACAGCACACATTCAGTTCAGATGATAAATAGTCAGATACAATATTCTTTAGTAATATTAAAAAAGCTTTCTAATGTCTCCTGTGGTTCAACCAATCGTTCTGAAAGAAGCGGAACGCTCAAGCCCGTAATGTATATCAATGCATGTAGCTAAAATGTCTACGTAAAACTATTCTCTATTAGGTACAAGTTGTACCACCTGAACGTTAATATAGTGTGTAATGCAGTAAAACTTTAAACTGCATCAATAAACGTTAGGCAGAAAGGTTTGTTTATTATAAATTGTGTAAGCCTTATGGTGTTTTATATATATTGCTGAATGATAGCATAAGACATGTTTGTGCACTTTGGAATTGGGCATGGAGGTATAAACACAAACAATGTTGCACTTTGTCATAAGCGGGTATAAGTACTACAATAAGACGTACATCTTCGAGACACAATCGATTTTTCTTCAGATTTTGATGAACTCTTGAAGATTAATCCATGAGTCTTAGGCCACATCTCTGTATATTAGCTCCATATTACGATTACGAAACACATCAATCGTAATACATTCAATATGTGTGTTTACTCTAGCAACGGCCTTAGTAACAGAACATTGACGTAACTTCATTGGCTAATTCAATATTCGTGACCTTGACTTGACCGTATCAGTGAAGGTGTGTTTAATTTATTTAATTTGGTTTATAGATATAATTACTTAAGTTTAGATTAGCCCTGTTTACATTAGTACAACATCCAGATTACGGACGATAACGATTCCTCAAACACAGACATATAGGCGTATCTTATTACATTCCTGACTAATTTGGCACTATGGCCAACACGTAGTTTCTCGGTGAGCTAGTCAGCTGTTGCCAGACAACATACTGTATTGTCGGGTATTGCGATGGATTATACTAAGATTCATTAATCAAATCAGTACAGGTGGACGAAGCCTAATTAGGTTACACTCTCAATATATGTTATTCACATGCACTAATTGTCGATTCACTGAAAATAATAGCCATTCTAGATAGCTCCTTTACAATTTTATCGGAGCAAAACCGAAAGCTACCTCGGCTTCTTTACTACAAAAGCATAACACTGACAATTTCAAGTCAAGAGCACTTGCAGGAACTTCGTCATCAGTTTAGCCACATTTCTTAATAGAAAAAAAAATTAAGAAAGAGAGCCAGTATACTTTTCCAATAACTTAATTCTGTCGATCTTTTATTTGAAAATATTTACTCATATGTTTCGTGCACACGCGCCTATTGCAAAATAGGATTTTAAAATGTGTAGTAAGGATGTGCTTCCTGACATTTCATTCGAGATTCGCCAATACATGAAATATCCCAGTAATGCCAGCTAGTCTTATTCTCAGAGGTTGTTGGCTTGGCACCATTGCCATCATCGGAAGACAATAAAGTATTCTATTTTTATGCCGTGCGTCATGGAATATTAATAAAAAGGAAGAATTATGTGTATTGATAATATGCATAGCTTAACTTTCCTGTCAAATTAGAAAACATTTGAAGATTGACCTTACTGTAGTTACCAATATCAACGTTAACACACACCATAATCCATTTAAGAATTCGGAAACTAACAGAAACCACGAAATATCTCAAAACATACAACAACAAACATTACAAGTTGCCGATATTGCAGTAATCTGCTCAACAAAATATCATTGAAACAGCAACTACTATGTTTTAACTCAAAGCCATTTAAGGTAAACCACTTGGTGTTGCAATCTCAAAACACACTCAAACTTACCTTTTTAATACTTAACGCTTGACGATAATCCCGACCACCTTGAAGCCGAAATCCCCAAGATTCGTTTACATTATTCCTGTGAAGACTAACTACCACCGCCATTTGGACGTAGTGACCACACTAGAAGTGATTTAGGACGACTGACGATCTGAGAGTAGACTAAAGAATGGAGATACAAGATATTGAGTGAAGGAATAACACCGAATAATGTTACTAAAAATAGATTGATACGATGCTAAGGTAACATGAACAGACGAGTTTCTTACATCTGGTGAACAGTAAGAGGTAGATATAGTTTATAATTCCTGTATATCATAGCTTGTCTATTTCAATTAAAGGAAACGATCAGACTATATTATATATAATTCTATAGTGTACCAGGCAAGTTACAGACTTTCCAAAAGTGGAGATTCACATTAGGTTTATGGTAACCTCGTATCATTAGATGCCGTTGTTTGGACCCTCCCTATGGTAAGAAATTCTGATGCAACGGTCAGTGCTTTCAAAAATCACCCCAGTTTCAGCTTTAAAATCCTTTTCACCTGCATTGACGAATAGAATTTTATCATTAACATGTAAACCCTGAGCTTAAGTTTCATACATTCAATGCCCGAATCGGTAAAATCTTTCATTGTTTCAAATGAACAAAGTTTACTTATTAAGTTGAACTCAATGGTTTTTAACCTTTGCATCGATTTCCCCCTGTAAATCCACACTTTTTCGTCATTTTCTCTTAGGTTTTCCCTGTAATCTTGTTCATGCCGCCCTACGATCTTGTTCATGTCTGAGAATATAGTCTGACTGATTAGAAGACTTGCATTAGATTTTATCCTAGACTATCCTAGCGACTATTCCCCTCCAAAATCTCAAAATTACACCCGTGGAAGATTTATTAAGACGCTTTTTCCATGCCAGCCCATCTTACCGGCATCACTGATAGGGGGAAACCAGGTTGAAAAATAAGGTATCTTCTCGATCTATGCTGGGATTGAACCCTGGACCTTCAGCTTATCGACAAAGCTTCTAAGTCATTGAGCCACCGCGGCTCCCCAGCAAATAGATATAGAATTCTTTAAGCTAAGATTCCATATACGCGTCATGCGGATGCGTCATGCGGACATAAATGGCCCTTGCGGATCTGTCATTCGTCAAATATGATTCCATATGTGCGTTAAACGTATGCGTTATTTTTCTTTTGACGCACGGACTTCTAGACAGATGGATGCTTTGGTACATTAAAAAGTCAGGGAATCCCCACAAAATAGGTCACATTTGGGAGATATCCGCACGAAAAGGCGTCCGGGTGCGTCAAAAATCGCTACACCCGGCGATTTTGTTTACGCATGACGGAGACCATTTGACGGATACCGCTTCCGCATATATGGAATCATACCCGCTTAAACCAACCATTTAGATTTTTAACGCATGACGGATGACGGATCCGCATGACGCGTATATGGAATCTTAGTGTTATTCTGTCAGAAACCCATTGATACACTTTTTATTTAAGATATTGAAATAGTTCTAAGAATGACAGCTATAACTATAAGTCAGTGTGCACCACTGTAATAGCACCATATAGCACGGTCCCAGTTCCAAAAGAAAAAAACCCGTAAATATTAAAGGGGTAGATGTGCCATTCTGGGGGGTTGATATTATTCTTGAATATATGTAAATAGTCTTCAATAGTACTAAAAATGTACGAAAATTGCACAATTCCTTTAAAAATACTTCAAACTAGAAATTTTACTCACTATTTCTATATATGTCTTTTCTATATATCACAGAGTATCTTAAAATGACGAGTCGACATTTTAACATTAAAACGCGGATAATTCTGGACACACAAGAATTGAAGGCCCAAATTTCGAGTTGTAAACACTATTACTTATTGGCATATAGTTACAAAATTCCCGTTTCTGAGACTAAAGTTTGATTGCTCAAAATAAATGACGCTTCTGTCCCTTTAAGATTGGGTTCAATTTATTGTGACTCAGCAGTAAGAATTCAATTGGGTTCGCTAATCCGCTGAAATGAAAACAATGCGAAATTTCATCAAAGATGCGACAGAATGAAAGAAAGAAAATAGCACCATTCCTCCTCAAACTCAGATCTCACATAGCTTCGGCTTACTATGAATTGACGTCGACTAGTAAAATTTCATGATAACCATGGCTATCAAGGTATTAGGAAAAGTGGTAATTATGTTGTTGTGTTAAAGGAAAATTAGGCCATCCATCAAAGCGTGAGATGTCGAGATTTCATTTAAAACGTCACCCATTCAGCAATCGCCCATGCTGTTTCAATTTCACTGACAGCCAGGTGTAAAGTATTGACCACTGCCTTAAATGTGCATGACCGTTTTCTTTCATGACCTGTCTCCATATTTATAACTGGGATTGATATGTTATTATATCCCCTTTCTTATGATGGAAGTTTCTGTGTTGAAGTGAAGATATGTTTTTGAAGTCTGAATGAGAAATGCCTTTATTCATCTGTCATCGAAAATGTATTTAATAAGCAGGAAAAAGAGGAAAATAATTTAACTTTAGTTGAACTTGGAAAGTAAGTATATATCTTTTGACCATTCGATATATTTGGTTAGGCAGGCAAAGAGTTGAAGACTAGAACCATATTGGCTATTCGTGAACATAGCGGCATGGCAGTAGTATTAAGATTTGTCTATAGAACAGGTTGGATTAGATTATCAGCAAACAATTGTATTATAATCAATTTAAGAGCAATTTAACTCCAGAAATTTATCAATTATCATACCTGGAATATGTGATTAAAATGCTTCAATCGGCTATGAATTGTCGTTTAGATAAGATTAGATCATAATGCCCAATATTCAATATGGGCGTTAATGTTTGGTTTTTGAAGTTTCCATGCTTATAAATATATGATTTTTAGAAACAAAATGCAGTGGTTATTGTTAACTATTCTCGCATTGGCTACATTGGGGTCAGTAGCAGCTTTATCTTGTCGTCAATGTCAACCAGATCACGAATGTCCAGCACTGCCAAATGATGGAAAATGTCACCCAGCTCGGAGACCTTGTTCTTGTTGTGATGAATGTGCTGGCCTTAGAGGAGATGATTGTGGACCTTTCACGGCAAGGTTAGTTTATTAATTATATTAATATTATCGTCAATATTTCGTACATTTTGCTTCAACTATGTATGTTGAATGATTGTTGTCGAAAAGGTTTCTAAATAGGTCGTTATAGCAGATTTTAACTATTCGTTGACTTGAAGTGTTGATAATGACAATTTAGAATCCTCAACATATCTCTTCTGCACTTAAATAATAAAAATGGAAAATCAGATTTCCCAACCAATCTACCGTACTTTAAGTGCTTCTCTGTCAGATATGTAATTCATTTTTTCAGATGTCACCCAGACTTGGTATGTGTGAATGAAAATGGAGAAGAGAAAGAAACTGTTCAATGGCATGAAAAATTTAAGGGTGTATGTAAGAGATCTAAAGCTGAGAGGGCGGAACGAGCTTGTAAACGATTGAATCAATTATTTAGACTGTTTAATTCCACAAACGGCAGACCTGGTAGATTTTTAAGACGATGGTTAAAGAGATTGTACAAAAGATGCTTAGCTAAATATAATGTTAATTAAATATTCATAAATAAACCAGAAGTATCTATCCATAAAATTGTCTTATTTATCTATATCTTGTGCTTCTACTATGCCGTTGACAGATTATATATTCATTATTTCTTTTTAAAAGACCCATTTTGCCCATGACAGTTTTTCTGTTGCAAGATTTATAAATATATTACCTTGGTTATCGATCCCGTCTTTGGCCGAGACATAGCACTTTGTAACCCACAGCGCACAGTGTGTACCATAGACCAGCGGGGAAATCAAACGAGCTCCGACAGATCCTACTGCCCTAGCAATACTACGTGACTTAGTGCATGTACATCAGGAGTAGCCGTATTGTAGGATAAGAATCATGAGATTTCACAGAATGACGTGAAACATTTTTGAAAAGGTTTAATTTTCTGGCAACAGATTTGAAATCTCAAAAATACGTATATAATTATTATATATCCATGGTACCATATATCCTAGATAGGAAAATAAGTAAATCCTACACACATATGAAATGTTTTCAAGTTAAGGACTAAAGAGAGAACACCACCCCCTTTTCTCCAAACTCCCGAAAAATAACTGAAAGTTAGTTTACTGTTTGCTCTATATGTCTGATTAATGGATTTAGAATTGAACTATAAAAACAATTTAAAAGGTCAAACGCACACTGTAACAGAGGATCACGGAATTAAAATACACGTTATGAGAAGTGTGTGATCCATTAATTATGTTAAAAAAAAAATACGAATGATCCCGGAAGCAGAATTCGACAATTAAATGTAATAACGTTCTATTATATTCTATAGTCCGAATCATACTGATTCTTATGGATGTTTTGACCGTTAGACCGTTATGAGCTGATATGAAATCAAAAACACAGGTACGATTTATGTGAAACTTTAAAATCGCTTTAAGGATACGGGGAGTATACCGGTTTATCTCAACATCTATTATGTCTCATTACCAGCGGTTTCACTTCACAAATCCTCTACATACATGTTTCACCACATAACACTACATTTTATGTCCTTTTTGGATCAGTTCAATTTTCGAAATCAAAAATGATCGCAAGATGATCTAAAATTGATCTCCAAATGAAATGAATACTATTGTTGTTTATTCCAATGTAACAAAGCCTACGCAATGTCGTATTGGATACCAAAAGTCCTCTTTATTCCCCGAGTACCATTTTCTGGTCTTTCGTCAGTGATTGAGAGAATGAACCTTGATTGATGTTGAGAAGGTCAGAATTTGAGTCACAGTCTAATTAGAATTCGATCAAAATTTCGTTTTCCGTAGTTCAAATTGTTTTTTTAAATATACCCACTTCAGTTAGGGTCTAACGATAGCCTTCTTGGAAGTTCGTCAAATTAACCTTTTGACCTAACCTGATAAACATCGAACCACAAACTGCCAGCGTTGGAGAGTTAGGTCAAAAGGTTAATTTGACGAACTTTCTAAAGGACTGCTGTTAGACTTTAACTGAAGTTGCTTAAATAGAAATAAAAGCTAGCAAAAAACAAACGGAACGAAAGTTTGGTCGAATTTTAATTAGACTGAGTCGGGTATTGGATGAAGGAAAATCATGAATCATAAATATGTCAGCAAAGTTTGTGGTTCACTTAAATACTCCCTAAGTTATAATCTTATCTCTATAAAGCCTCGATCTCTGGGATCTTCTTATCTCTTCGTCTTTGTAAGTGTATCGTTACCCGTCGTTAATATGGCATCTGTAACCATATATATGATCCTGATTCTGTCCGTGACGTCAGTGGTCTTTAGTTTATCGTGTGTTGGGTGTGATAAAGCCGCACCGTGTCCACTGCTACCAGAAACAAAGGAATGTTTTAAGGCTCGAGCACCATGCGCTTGCTGTGACACATGTGCTAGTGGACTTGGTGCTGAATGTGGGGCATTAAAGATACGGTAAGATTATGGACAAACATAGCATTTTTCTCCATCTCCAGAATAATATAGAGAATTTCACACAATACAGGGTAACAATTACTATACTATTGAAAACAAATTTACTAAATTTAAATTGTGTTCATTACTAATTACAAATAAGATGTTTACATCTAGAAATTACAGATAATATACTCCGAAATGTTAATAGGTTGGAGATGCAGGTTGGGTAGATAGTTCTACCGGAAATGTTGACAGGTTCCATAGAGCAATTATCCATAACAAATGTTCAATTCTTGATACATTTGAGCTATGCGGGTGGCATAGAAGGTTACAAAGCCTGACAGTTTTGTCAGTAGTATCCGTGATTGATTTATATTTTATAACCGATGGATCCAATTGTGGCAACTGTTATTATTTTTTCAGATGTCACCCAGATTATGTATGTGTGAATAAAGATGGTGTAGAGAAGGTTATGATACCTTGGTTTATGATGGGGTTTAAAGGTACCTGTATGCCAACAGGAACTGGAAAAATCGTCTAATCAGTTTGAATTGAATTATGAAAATATGATGTTTGATTCATGTTAGTTTATTTTTTAATTTCAAAGACCTGTTTGCCGCATGAGACACGAATTTCTGCTGTGATGGAAGTCCATCGCTATCGATGAGGTATGATTGCATCCCAAAGTTTGATGCGCAAGGGCGGCATCACTGTCGGCATGCAAGATCCTATTGCGCGTCTCCATGCACTGCGATCTCCCATCCTAGTTGGGGTATGCCGCATGCTGCCAGGGACGTTTTAAGACACTCTTTGTTTCGTTTGAGTGGGCGATATTTCTTGAACCAGATGCCAGTTCAGAGAAGATCCTTGACAATAAGGGCTTCAACTTCAGTCACGAGAAGCAAGGTCCAGTCTGAACTGCGGCAGATAAAGGATACCGATAATATATCTCACTTAGAAGCTTGAAAATAATTTCGTCGGTAGCTTCAGCAGCTTTGTGTACCAACTCACTAAACTTCCTTCCACCATTTTGAAATTTGTTTCTTACCCTGATGAAATCAAATCTTTATGTATTAAGTATGGCATTTCATGTGATGCAAAACCTGCAGCACAGAATCATCCACCTCAACCAATCCAACTATAACTTCTACATCTACCAACAATTACCTGGTTCGCAATGTCAGCATCCGTTGCAAAATATACATTTAATGAATCGCTGTACTATCAGTGGCATTGGTGATCCCATCATGAAGTCTTCTGTGATCGGTTATTGATGTCTGCTTTTGTCTCAAGGGACTTCTCAGAAACACATTTGATTCTCGGCTGTCATTTTAAAAATATCCTATTGCACACTATGAATGGCTTTGTCAGATATCAAATGACAATGAAGCAAAAAAATTGATGACAATACGGATTAAAATCATTTTAAAATAATATTTCGAGTCAGTTGTCAGTTGTTGATATTTGTCAACTATACCATTATAAATCGTTCTTCATGACATGTTGAACATTGAAATTGACAGCAATTCTTTTAAAAGCCAGAACCAACATCTTGAAGTGACATCAAATCGTACAATGAAATTGATTATAATTTGAAATCAAACTTTTTGAGTTACCTACCTATGACCATGCGGCTCAACTAGATTAGTGGACATAAGTGGGTTTCATTTTAACATATGCTCTCCTGCATTTTGTCTGGGGGGTTATCAGTGTTAACCGTCACACAAATCATGAAAAAAAGAACGCTATTGCTCCCATACAGGTCAAAACAACCAGAAGGTTATTCTACAGCTAATCCTTACCCATGTAAAATAAATAGTTATATAATTCACATATGGAACACACATATTTCGGAGTGTTTTGCACGCTAAAGGCGTAGAAATCTGTAGGAAAATCATCTTCCTTATTATTAATATAAATATTTCCTCTTAACTTGGCGTTTCCTCATAATTTGTGTGATATACATGGATGTCATAATTAGAGGTCGGTATGGTATAAAAGACAACATACCGCTGAATGATATTTTTTAGGGATAACGAATATAAGCCGACTAAGATTTTTTTTCTTGTAACAACAGGAATATAAAACACAACACATGGTAGGTGGAACCATTTCTAAAATCGTCTAGTATCCCATACGAAACTACGCATGATTCTTACATGGAAATGACACACACGAACGCAGTTCACAACCATTTTGAATGTCTTACTCGACAACAAGTTTATTTTTTTCATTTTAAACAGGCTATAACATTTCAACTAAGTCTTCAAATCATATTTTAAGTCATTTATAAACCTTTAAATGTGATTTGAAGCCTTTATTGAGGAAGAAATTCAAAATGGTTGTAAACTACGTTCGTGTGTGTTATTTCCACGTCAGAACCATACATAGTTTCGTTTGCTACTACCCATCTCATCATACTATTTTGGACTGTTCGTGTGCCCGCATCTTTAACATGCATAAACGTAATAAGATTCGTCAAAATCTGCAGCTCGTACCGTATCAAAATAAGTCAGGGGCGTTCGAAAGTCGTTCATCAACAAACAGCGAACAAAAGCGAAACTTTGCAATATTTCATCCACACCTATGATTATGTCAAATTTACCCGAATTGTTTTTTGTGTTTGTAGATCATTTTTTACGTATTTTATCAATGTTAAGTGCAATAACTGTTGTAAACGTCAAAATATCAACATTCATTTGAAATTAAATTGATATTTCATATTGTCAATATTACTGCTCTCGTTCACGGTATTGTCACAGTGAATGACTGCATTCAGAAGCTTGGTGAACAGATGTTCCTAAATTCGTATATAAATCTTGCACAATCAGACAGGTCTACCATACTCTTCTTGTACGATAGTAAGTGTAAGTATATTTTACCAGATTTCGTAAGAAAAAGTTTAGTTTATTACAAAAATTATTTACAAATAGGAATATGATGGTTAAATTATTCTGTTTTACGTTTCAAAGGCTACAGTTTCTTATTAGCTCTTCGCATTCTACTACTAGTACTAATACTATTAATGATAATAATCTAATACTAAGTCGATATTTTAATCCATATATAAATGATTAGCAAATTGCATATCTAAATACTGTCATGTTGAATGACAAGTTGACTGCAACTAAAATTTGTTCAGTCGTTGGTGCTTTCAGGTCTACAGAACCCAGCTATCCAGTTGTTGAAAATACAGTTTTTCCTAGGCCGACATACCGTCCCCCAACCCCCCCCCCCCCTCCCCCCTCTCCCTCACTGGATTTATACATTTACCCTTGTATCATGTTTTATTTTAAACATGCAGGTTTATTTACAAAGATGGCTTCAATGATAAAGTTGTCGATTCTCTGCTCCATGATTGCCACGGTGACATCTTTATCTTGTGTGGCATGTCCAAAGGATCAAGTATGCGATCCACTTCCTGAATCTGCAGAGTGTTTTCCGGCTAAAGCAGCCTGTGCATGTTGCAAAACCTGTGCGGGACGATTCGGTGACAAATGTAGCACTTTGAGTGTAAGGTATGACATATCATTTTTTTTTTTAAATTTACGATCGGAATATTCGTTTTCCTTTTTCTATGCAGTTTCCTAAAATTACAGATTAGTGAAAAACCGTCTGTCATTTAGGCAGAACTCAAAAAGTCTGCATTTGTGATTGATTAGTCTTCTACTGAAGCTAAGCTCAAATTTTAAAATTAAACAGATTCTTCGAAATAATGAGCTTGAATATACAGAAACAGTCGGCCTGCAATTTTAACTCTATAGGAAAGTGGTGATTTGATTAATCCTAAAATACCTCAAATACAGATGGGTAGATTATAGTAGCATGTTTCCGAGCGTATCTATTTATATACCTGTTCAGTACTATTGTACCCATTTTTCAGATGTCATCCTGACTTTGTATGCGTGAATGAAGATGGGGTAGAATTGTCATCAGTGCCATGGTATACCTTTGATTTTAGAGGTATCTGCGTCCGAGATAGATGCCCTGAACCAAGCACCGGTGGTGATGGTGGTATTGTTCCATTACCCGTTGGCAAATAAAATGACTATTAAAAACTGCTTTTTCTGAAACCATTGTATCAAATACAGAGCAGGGCGATAAAAGTCGAACGTGTAGCCCGTTCTGAAAACAATGTTGTCTCTTTTGATTCAATAGAAATACTCAGAAAAACAAAAGAAACAGGCACTTTTGGTATTGTCTTTAGTCGCGTCACACGTGAAGAAAATGCGATAAAAAATCACAGTCGCTATCAACCTTGACATATGCACATATTGCGTTCCCCTAGTGCGTTTCTAATAAAATCTATGGGCATGGTGCACTTTTTGTAAATGCGTATTACTCTTCCGACATGTCGACATTAACAGGCTCGGGCTTATTTTCCATCGCTATAGCAGCTAAGAATGCCTTCCAGTATGACGGGGCTATTAGAACGTAACTGCTTACACAGCGTACCTTCTCCAGATAGATCTGATAATGGATACACCACGTTTAACATATGATATAAGGTTTTAAAAAAATAAAATACAATTCTTCATCACGAAAATACAATTTGTATATCAACATTTATCAGAGGAGCTCTAACGAACTTTTATAAGATTATGCCCACGCCTTTCTTCTGTGATCTTCTAATTGGGTTCATGAAGATAGGGAATGTACAGCCAGAGAATTACAAAGGAAAACTATCAATCTACACCAATATCTATGAAGGAAGGTAAGTGAGAAATCCCTTGCTTCAATGTTCAGTATATATGCCTTGGTAGTACCTGTCAGTGCCAGCTTCGTTTTACGTATGTTGTATCTTTTTTCTCTTAATACTTCATCTCGTGAAGATTTAAGGGATTGTAAAGAGTCTTTCTACAAAATGTTTATATGTATGGGGGACGCGAAAGCATCAGTTGTGACAATTTTCATTCAGACGTCTATGGTTCTTTGCAATTCCACCAAAACTAAGTGTTTAATGATATCACTAATCGCTAAGGGCCATGTGTGATAAAGCATATTTTGCGATTAGGGACGTCATCAAACATTTCCGTAAAAACGTCGTTGAATCAGAATTACAAATTTATGCTATCAGTGAACCCGATACACATAACCAATTTAGAAAACTTCATTACAATCCCTTTAATATACATCAGTTCAATTTCTTCAGAACTTGTCTTTGATTTTCAGGGATTCAATGAATGTTTAGGGCTCAGTCACTAACGGTGGATCAGTGACGTGGAGAATGATTATAGCGGCTCTCGTGTGTATAGCGTCATTATTGTCCGCATATAGTTGTACAATTACCCATCTTAACCATTATGAAACATGTCATGTGTCAAAGACCAAATCAGTACCAACGTCACCAAATTGGTAAACAGCAAAGTTCTACGTCCCACATTTTTTTTACTCGATTTTTATTTGTTTGTGCCCTGTCTTAAGAAATTGTAATCTGAAATGCTATACTTTGGTTTTGTAATTTGCAACATACGATGTTTGATTATGAAGGTATATGTATCAGAGCCAGATTATCTCAGACGAAAACAAATACTATATAATGTAATTATGTAAAATAGGACTCAAAATTAATACAACAATCGACACAACTTCAGAGTTCTCCTCCATCTATTTCAATAAATTTACCAGTTATTAAAGGGAAGTAACTCTTGTTATTGGCAAAAAAAAAAATACATATGCAACACGCGTGCATTGAATAAATTTTTAAACCGCAGGTTTAATTATATAACAGATAGAGACTATACTGCCTAAAATTTAAGCTTTAGCAACAACAACAGCATGCAACAAGCTGATCATATTTAATAGATATTACTGTAGATGGAATTAGTGTATAAATAATTTAGACACGAGAATAGATAGGATTGACAAGCTCCATGATATAACTGCTGTTGGTCCACCTGGAAAAAAAATCATATTCAGTTCTACATGGTTTGAAACATCCGTAACAATAGATTGGAGTAAGAAAAAACTTATGGACAGAGTTGAAAGCAATAAAAGAAGAACACATACATTTTAATGATGCCAACAGCATTAGTATGTATAATTTAATATATGTAGAGATACTTGAAAGATGAAAGGTATTCAAAAATTGATTCCGGGCCTAAAGATATAGGAGACACATTGCTTCATCGTGCAAAATTCCAAATTCTCGCGCTGAACCACAGTCGTCAAATGAACAACCGAATACTTTGCTACAACATACTATGTATTATAGAATTGAATCCCTGTAATGCACATGTCTGAAAATTTCAGACGTACGAATGTGAATAATTTTTCCATCTGCTTTATACCTCTCGAGTGGCCAATTGTCATATTTTATTTTCCCGAGGTCTCTCAGTGGTCACCTTCATATTATAATGGTAAGACTATTGAGGATCGTGTCTAAGTTTGCTTCAACGCAAATTATTGTTGATGCAGTCGCCTCGACGACGATGAAATCCCGTAGAATAAAAACTCTGGTCACGCTTAAAAGGTGTCTTCTTACTTCTTTTATTATACAGCATAGAGTGATACGGAATAACGTTCAATGCACCTACCGTTTTCACATTTATCATAACTCAGTGCCACATAATCTTGAACATACAAGTCGTCGGATTTTGAACACCCTTTCTTAATGAGAAAATCGAAATGTTTCTTCTTTCCTCTGAAATGAAATGGGTGTATGAAGAGAGGCAATGCCATGCAATGCAATGTGGCAACTGTAGCAATTCTGTCCGGAACGCGGCATTAGTCCAATCTTTTCGATTTGCAACTGTCTAGGGGTCTTTTACGTGCACAACCTGTAGCACACGGGGCCTGGTTATTGTCTTATCTCAGCCTCACCCGACGTACATCATTGGCAAGGGTAAACCGGGTAGATAAATTGTTTATTAAGCATGGAACCCTGTATTTCCTATTTAGCGAGCAATCGTTTAACTCACTGATCTACCACACCTGTTTGCTTTCCTCTGGAGTCACAAATAAAAGCCAGTGAACACGTCAAAAACGGCATTATTCAAAGTGTGCTCGGAATTTAGTTCCGTAGTAAATAGTAAATCTAAATGTTCTGGATTTGTAGGGGGCGAGAAAACGCGTGCAATCGCTGTCTTCTTGGGAAATCCCTTGACAGTTTGAATATTACAGTGTCTTTAATGCACTCTGGACTAAAAAGGTACAGAAAGAAGTAAAATTTGCATCAACCCCTTTTTAATTGAAAAGGGTCAAAATTTCAGTGAACTGTCTTAGATACATTAGCTGAAAAAGCTAGCTAGCTTCATTAGCTTGAAAAAAAATACCACGAACAGTTGACAAAATAATACATGTTGATAACGAGAGCACTCACTCGCAGTTTTTATTGTAGAAATCTTCACCATGGTATCCACATGCCGCCTTATCCAAAGTGCAATCTAATCCGTTTGATTTTACAGGCACAGTCAAATACAACACTGAAAAATGGGATGGTTGTTGGTTAATAACAGAAAACTACGCAGCCTATCCAGATCACCTATTCCAATTTCTCAATTAAGTATTTGTTCCACCCTAAGACTTTACATTTTGGAGAACCCTCTGAATTCGTCAGATGGGATATCATGTTGATAAACTCATGATTCACCCTTGTCAGTTAGTTAAATTAATGTTTATGAATAGGTTATTAAGTCGGTTAGCTTTGACAATAATCTGAAATTAGAATGGTACAACTTCAAGCTATAAATGTTTGCGATAGAAACGAAATAATTATTTCATTTAAACGAATCATTTATTACGTTAAAACGAAATAAGTAATTCGTTTAAACGAAAAATTTATTTCGTTTAAATGAAATAATTATTTCGTTTAAATGAAATAATTATTTCGTTTTAACGAAAAATCATTTCGTTTAAACGAAATATATGACGTTATTTCGTTTAAACGAATTAGTTATTTCGTTTAATCGAATAACTTATTTCGTTTAAACGAATTATTTGATAAAAGTACGGAAAATTGCACCTAAGGGGCACCGTTCGTAATCATGTGTTCTATAATACTATTATTTGATACATGTATATAGTGCAAGAATCGTAATTAGAATTAATTTATTATGAAAAGCAAAAAATAAAGAAACAACACAACACATATATGACCAATGAGAAAGAATAATGAAATGAAAAATGGTATAAGGTTCAGAATTAAATAATGACGCGAAAGGCCATATACCAGGTTAATCTTTAAGGGTTTTCTGTTCCTGATAATTTCCGATCAAATATAGAAGAATTGAGCTTACGGTTACAATTCAACACAAAATCTAGTGAAGTTGCAACAGTTATCCTATGAATCTTTGAGCCATATTCGTAGACATGGTATCGTCTGTTTTGGGAACAGTTTCATCATTTCCTGGACGGGTAGCACTTCCGCTTGTATTTGGTACTACTGTGGTCTTCTGATTAGAGGTGGTCTGGACAGTCGTTTCAGCTATTGGACTGGTTGCTGTTGGTTTTGGTACTGGATTGTCTGGATTTCTTGAGCATATAGCGGTAATGTTTTTATTATCAACTGAGACCTTACCAGCTTGTCCCCTGAATCCAATGATAAAGCACGACTCTGTGTTCATCTCGTTAGGTTCTTGAAAGACGTGCAATTCGAATTTGTTTTCTGTATTTTGAACTGGAATTGACTGTGCTAGGTACTCAGCGTTACATTCGTTCATTTGGAGAATCTTTTGACCATTTGTTGTAAAGTTCATCTTCATTCCTGGACAATGATTTCCAAGTAATGACGATTTGCTGCTAAAGAGAACCATTCTGATTTTTCCTGTCATTGGCTCGCCATCAAACATAATTTGGCAGTGACAGGAACCAGCTTGTACTCCATTTTGTACACCGAGGAAGATGTCGACCCCAGTTTGTAAATTAACCACTGCTCCACATACGTCTCCGATAAATTTGTCTGGAACTGGACATAGCTTACTGTGAACGCTCACAAACAATATATTAACAAACACAACGAAGACTTCTAACAAACTCATTATAAAAGCTGTTGATGTTGATGTGCTGACGAAAGTTTATAGATGAGAATATGCAAGTCATTAATGACTTTATATACCCTCTATCGTGCATTAAATGATTATACTTTTTCATCACAAAGTTTACAATTAATCCGCTATTTAAATGTTACAGGTGCGATTTAAAGTCATGATGAACGTTGTTAAATCTCCGAAATCGCACTGAGAGTGGCCTTCCGATATTGATTATCTGAAAAAAAAAACACTACCAGCTTCTAAACAAAACCGGTTTTTGCCTTAATCTGATGTGTCGGTTTTATTCGTTATACAATCGGTTTAATCCATGCATATTCAACAAATATTTAGATTGTAAATAAAAAGTTGATCTTGTAAACATTTCGACCATCACGCACATCTTAAAAATTATGAAAAAGTACTGCACTGATTGAAAGTCTTTATGAATCCAACAGGCACATTTTTTTTGAATTATTGTATGTATGTGTATTGTATCTAGGTAGCTAAGATTTTTATTTTGTATAGAAGGTTGAACAAATGTTTGACTGCTCGCAGCTGGAAATGTAAGCACTTACGAAGTTGGTTGGAAAAAGTCATTCAGTCAAATTGTTTTAAAAGCCTAGTCAGAACTTTAACAGCTTTGGTTATGATATAATTAATGAGTGTTCTTTATAAGACTGACATCTTAATTGTATTCTAGAATTGTCTTATGTGATGGAATAGTTCGCACTATTCATATATTTATTAGTGTCTGAATCCTGTCTAGAAAATAGTTGTCTTAAAGCTTTTCTCGCCAAGGGGACGCAACCTTTACAAAACCCATATGGACCATATACAAATCTCCACTTATTGATGGAGTCAGTGGTATTTTTAGACACACCTGTTTCCTTTTTTCGTGTCAGCATGCCTATTTTTGTTCTACATTTTTATTTTGATGATTGAAATTGTCATTCTTTGTGATGAGATTGATGTAAATGCGAAAGAATAAGTGTGAAAATATGTGCATGTTTACATTTACATCAGGCAGTGGTCTAATTTCAAGCTCAAAATTAAATTTAATAAAGGTGGAGAGAGGGGATTTTTAAAACTACGATGGACTAAATTCGTTGTCTGAGTATGCACTCCGTATTGTAGGGCGTATTTGTTATGGTAACTCTACATATCTTAGCCTATTCAAATGTATGAACAATTTAGTGATTTGTCTTGACCCGTCTACTTAACAATATATAAAGATTGAATATTTCCCTTGTGCAAATAAAATATCGCTTATCGTCTGACAATAAAATTTGTACTCGACAAGGCCAGACCATCCTTAACACTTAAACGTCTCAAAATCTTTAAAATGGAGTAATTTTCACGTGTAGTCAACTTGTGCTATATCAGCTGGTAAAGCAAATGTTGAGATGTCTACATGCCCATCATAGACGAAGGGGAACAAAAACAAATCATGAACACTAAAATTTTATTGCAAAATAAATTACATAAATATAATGAGAAGTAGAATTAAAGCTGCAAAGTTATTGAAGAGTGCCATAAAATTTTTCATATTATACAAGAATTCGATGAACTAGAAAGCGACAGTGAACAGTTTCGGAAGGGCGTATCTCAGGATCTATAAAGTAACAAATTTGCCAGAAATTACGAGAAGAAGAGGTAATGTCCATCCCATAATAAGATTCACAGAGCCTGCAAATAAAATAAAATTGTATCATTAGTGTAGTACTATATGGAAAAGACGTGTTAAGATGCACTTACACTAGTACCTTCCGGAACACCTTATGTCATTTTGCGACGACCTAATAGTATCTATTTGGTATATCTATTTTACTGTAATTGAAAACGGGAACTGATGTGGTCCAGTGAGAGAGACGCGTGTTCGCTCACCTGAGGGTCTAGGGTTCAATCCCGGCTCAGGTATTTTCCCGTCTATGATGCAGGTAAGAGGGGCTGACATGGAAAAAGCGTCTAGTCTTCGGATGGGACAATAAATCGAGGGCCAGTGTGATACATGCTGTATCGATAGTTACATCCTTGCAAAATTACCCTCATTGCAACCTGTACGGCCCATCTTCATTTGCCCACATGGTGCAGAAAAGTAGGACGCAAAACTCAGTTCATTTCATTCCATTGCAAATAAGAACGATGTATTTGACCAACAAATTTTTATCACAGGGAGCGTATAACGGTCAAATTGTAAAATCTACTTCATTTATATCATTTGTCCGCTATGGACTTTAATTTTCAGATTGCTATTGAATTCTGTTACGTGTGCGTTTTCTTCTTGTGATACACGAGGCTTTTATGAGGGCTGGACCCTTGTCATGTGAACATAAGATACTTACCACTGCAATCTCCATATGATTTGGATGATATTTCATTCTTATAATAAGTGTGCGATTCTTCACACCCATGACTTAAAACACAGTCGAAAAAAGGTTTCTTCTCGCTAAAACAGATCAAAATATTTATACTTTAAAGATGGTGAGCGGGAATACATGTATGTTAAATAGGCGAATTCTATCGATTTTGATCCTTCTTATGAGCTATTTAACGAAACATGGTCGTTAAAGTCAGTAACACACCGAACGAAAAGAAAAATAAAACCTTGAATTATAGATTTAGATAATGTGCTACACTAGGGCAATTTCAATTCATCTGACGAAATTAAGTATGCATGTAATATAGAAATGCACTATATTGTCTGTACCTGCATTTGGCTGAGGAGCTGTCGGCAGTAGGATGATCATTATCGCATTTAATAATTGCAGAGTTACATGACGTTTCAGATGTACTCAAAACATGACCCAAGCATAAAACTGAAATATAGATAAATGATATCGGCAAATAATATAATAGTATTATAATCCAAGTCAATTGCGATGGCGGATAATCCAGGAAGGATCGTTACAGAAGCTTAAGTGAAAAAAGTCAGTTTTCTGAAGATCGCACAGCGTAAAATTTTGAGTAACAACATGTTTCAGGCTCTGTTTTCATTATCGCTGAACATTTGATGTATTGGGCACTACTTTAACAGTGAAAATATTTTGTTTGTTTCTATTATATATATAATAGTGCGCCATATTTTATGATTTTCAATAGAAAATGTGGGTTAGTAACTATCCCATAAGGAACTAATAGAATCAGTGACGTTGACCTACATATACCATTATAAATAGTTATGTTATTGACCAGTTTACTTCACCTAGCAACCCCCAACAATAGACAAAATCTATTGTCTTTTTCTTTTCCTTACAAAATAGCTCCCATATCCGATCTCGGCTAAGGGGTATATTTTTTAAAAAGAAAAATGTCGGTGGAAACAGTAAATTCAGTATGCTTTTCGCATGAGGTGTTATTTTTATAGGTATCACAAGATATAGCAAATGTCAAAAAGCAAATGTATTAGTGGTCCGTAGTAGTTTTTATTCCCCCTTAAAATGTTATAGGAATTGTTCAGTTTCTGTAGGAATGTCGATTGAGCATTTAGAACAGTTATTTTCACCGGAACGTTTTTATACAATATTAAAATAACCGAATCTTTATTTTATCCTATCAGATCAATGCTATATCTTTGAATACTGCTGATTTGCCATTTCCATTGGTGTTCATATAAATTGACAACATTTGAGTTGATAAATCAGACAATAACTAATGACAAAATATGGCCCTGTTTTCTTACATAAATACATTGAATACATAACCCATTATAATATTGTATTTTAATAACACAGCTCTATAATTATAAGGGTACATATTATAATTAAACGGTTGATATACGCTATACAATTCAGGGCATCCTTCGATGTTACTTGTTAGATGACAACTGCCACAGTTCTTGATTATAAGCAAAGTCATTGTCACATTGTTCAATCTTTCTTCTGTCCATCCGTTTCAGTGGTTTTACTGATGACCGCCCTGAATTCGGTTCTTACTTGTTATTAACAGGCCCTGGAACTCTTTAAAAATTGTTTTGAAAATAACATGCACCTACCTGAAAGAACTACAGACACCAAAACAAGCTTCATTTTAAATTATTATGATCTCTACTTCACTCCTAACTATCGATAAGACACAGAAGACACTAGGACTTCACGGATTGCCTCCCAATCAATATAACTGCCCTTCAAAGTTTTATTTAGTTGTTTCCATAGGTTACTTGTTCAAATATAAAACAATGAATTGAACTGATCTATAGTAAAATCTATGTCAACAGATTTATAAAGAATGAAATGGGTTTCAATGAGGGTTTTACTTGAACTTTAATTTGGTATTTGTTTATTATTGCACAATATTGTTCACAAAAATAAAATTTCAAAATCTTGTGTATCTTTGAAAGTCCATATTGTCCTTAAATGGCAAAATATATTTGTAACTTAACACGTGAAAATAACAGATACTCCTCCTGAAAAAATCCCATATTCTTTCATTACCTTTTGAAAAATCAACTAAAGACTGTATGTACATTTAGATTTTCTGAAAGGATTGTGGTAAAAACGAAGATTGAATAAGAGATAAACAAAAAGACATGTGAATCACACAGCACCATTTAACAGCCGATGTGTAGGATTTTCCCTTCTTCGTACAATTCTGTCACAATAAGTCTACCCTTTGACTGTATTTTGGTTCTTCGTGGAGCACAGTTCGTTGTCTTGTTGGACTCATTAATGGTCCAGCTTTGTACCAAATATTTATACGCAAATTGGGCTTTTAACACGGTGAAAATTCTCAAAAACTAGCTACCCCAAATTGAATCAGAGCACCTTCCCAAAAGGTGACAATTTATATCAGACCTTAAACGCGCCAATTACCCATCCGTCGTATTTCACATCAGATGTATGTCTAGTTCGCATCTGCAAAAGATTTCAAATTTTATTTCAGGATGGAAACGTTGGATAAAGTAAGAAGATAGGGATTTCAAGATATTGTATGTCTTCTTTCATTATCGAAACACTTCCTCGGTCATTAGCTTGTCATCTTATTTGGGATTTCGTGTTTCGTTTTGTGGTTCGTATCATTTGTATACTTTTGCCTCCTTTATCTAATCTTCGTGTCTTATAGACTTTGTGTTCAAGATAAAGGGGTGTTCTTAGGTTTCCTTATACCATTCAAACCTAAATGTCCCCCTCCCCTTTTTTCTTTCCGTTCTACTATAAAAAAAAATTACGATTTTGAGCTAGAGGTCAGATTCAAGCTTATCTCAATGAGGTTCCCTTAAATTGTCAAATCGCTTTACAAAATGATACAAAACTTGCTCTCAGTGTAACGCTGTAAGCCTATATCCTGGCGGTGAGTGCAAGAGAATAGTGTAAAATTTTATAAAATGATTTTAATTTCGACATTTTAGAAATCCTCTCCCTTTTTGGTTTTTACATGCCTTATTTTCGTCCTGCTATTTTTAGAAACCCTCTCCCTTTTTGGTTTTTACATGCCTTATTTTGACTAATTTTTGGAGATTTGAAATTTGATGTCTGAAATTGCATTTTATTTCAGATTTTGTGAGAAAATGAGAGATTTTGTGAGCAGAGAAAGTCCATCGGATGTTGATATAATGTAGTGGTCTACTTTTAGTTTTGCTAGCTCAAGATTTTCATGGTCATGATATACTGAATCTTCGTCCAGAAACTAAGTATAGGCCAGTCTTTCATGTGACATATTGGAAAGTTTTCAACCGGATTTCTGGAAAAATTTATAGAAGGTTGAATTTCGTGATTTAACATGGAAACAGGTGACAAATGAATTACCGGCCTGTGAGTCCATCTCACATATGAAGGGATTTAACTCTTGACCTTCAAATTAGCAGACAATCTGACGTTACTTCCCTTTGAGCGTTTTCAAAAGGTATATAGTTTTTTAACGGTATAGTTTTGTGATGGTAGATCAACTGTAAACGCGAGAGAAAATCAATTATGTTTTTTAAGTTGTATTGTGATTTAGAAAAATGAAGACTTTCAGTAAGCAATTTTGCCACAAAAGCGACACTTTAAAATGTTTTTCAAATATTGAGAGGACTTGTGTATAGCCTGTTTTTTTTTTTGGTTTATTTTCCCATACGAACGACAGGGCATGTTGCTATTTCAGCCAACCCGGGCTGTATCATTTTACAAGGTGTAAAACTCAGAATAAAAAAATTACAGTATAAATTCTCAGGATGCCGGTTGATAAACCTGTTTGTAATGTAGTGTTTTATATTTTGTATTCAACGTGGTAAAAAAATCTTTTTTTTTTTCGATAATTGCTTTATAAATCGGTCAGCTGAATATTGGACTTATTTTCTGGAAATTAGTATGACTACCTAACGCGATTCATAAAGGATATTAATGGCAGATAAATCGAACAAGTTAAAGTTTGGTTCCCTTGTTTTCATTTATTTATATATATTTCCCATTATTGGACGGCTAATACTGATATAAATCGAAAGTAGTAGAGGTGTTCAAACGATTGGGAAAAGTACCAGTTTGTTTCAATAATTCAATAAGTCAATAATTAACTCGTATGTAGCGAAGATACAGGGATTCCATCATCAAGAGTCACTTGATAAAGACAATCCCGTCTCACACGTTCCTTAATAGAGGTAACTCAATGTGTGTCTTTTCACAGCCGAACATTACAACTACCAACCGACAAATTTAAAATTTCCAAAATAGGGAAAATGACGATGTTTTTTTATTTTCTAAATACACAGTGTATTTATTTACATTATTTCTAACTTACAAATAAGCCAAATGTGGCTAGATTATCAAGGTCTATTTTAGTCATTGAGTAAAGAACGAATCTATATTTAGCTTTTTAATCAGGTTTCAGTCAATTTGATCCCCAAGCTTTTCTACATCCTCACACAATCTCAACACTCAAGAATACTTGATTTATTTTTTAGAAACATCAATTAATCAAACAATAAGCATGATTTTACCAAGAAAAGTAAGCAAAGGCTACTTTAAAACACTGTTGAACAAAAGAATATATCAAATATTGGATTTACCTCATGGCAAAATTATATGAATGCTTAAATAAATTGTTAAAAGGAGACAGCATTATATTCTCACAATAATTATATTTATTATAAACACACCACATAACCAGACAAAAAACATACATTAACAATTACACAAAATAGCATTTTTCCTAGAGTAAGATAACATACTTAAATACAATAATTGTTACACAGAACATTTTGATTATAATTGTTTTAAAGCTTTGAATGTAAGAAAATATGGCCCTCTTTAGTTCTGCTATTTAAATAAGGTTGAATTTAGGTTGTAAGGTTGCCATGAAGGTCTAACAAATAAATTAGATGTCTGTTTTGCAGAGGAAAATGATCAAAAAATCATCAAATTCCAACTAATATGAAATCTTACCGAAATACACTAAAATACATTTCCAAGACTTATTTAAATTTAAACAACATTATTAAGGAAATTAAAAAAATCTTAAAAATCACATTATAGCTTGCAGCATCACAGGTATCAAACTTAAAATACAAAAAAGTGTGTATAAAATTACTAAAACATCTATTAAACTACTGTGAAAAGAATTTAGCTAAAGTGAACATTATGATTGGTAATGAAATTCCCATAGCGATTGATGTAGCACCTAAAACGAAAGAAAGAAGACAATAAAGCATATTAAAACTATAAAAAAAAATTTTTAAAAAAGGTTTTGTAAAGCGATTAGCGGCGAGAAGAGTATTTTATCTATTCATTTTAAACAATTCAAAATGGCTGAAGGCGAATTTATAGTTTCTTTTTCAAAAGAAAACTGAATGCGAAAATTTTTGTCAAATAATTGCCATGCATAATTACATCACTGACATACTCAGATTGGTAGCGACCACATACCTACAGTCAGCATTCCCGGTTTAGCGTTTACGGCTCAAAATTTTACAACCTCAACAAAGAAGCCCCTTAATGTTAGACCCGTTATGCTCTGTTGTTTGGCATGAATTATCGTTTTTTTTTCTTTTATTTCAAAAGCCAGTGACGGAACCAGGTTTACATCTGAGATTGTCCGAATTTCTTACCTAGTTATGAGATTATTGCCCTAAAACTTGCTTTCGGTTATCCCCCTCTGCCCCCCCCCTCCCCCCCCCCTTTGGC